TATCTCATTGACACTCTTACTGATCACGGTTTCACCTTACACTATCAACATAGCAGGTACTTATATACGCTCAGGGCTTTGTATTGTTTTCCTCATTGAATCAACGCCAGTATCTGGCCTCTCTTTGTCTGTTCACCCTCATATTGTTCTCACTCCGCTCACCTCATTGAGTGCCCGTTACACTCGTCTCCACACCACCTCCACCGTCCCTGAATTTGAATACCATTTCTTCATATCCTTGTTCCTCCATCACATGATTACTTTCACTCTTAGAATATAGTGTAGTACAGGATATTTGGGTGGTCTACATTCTATTTAGCTCATTTTTAACAAAATCTTCGACATAGATATTAGTATATTCATGTACTAGTAATAAATCTCCAACCAGAGTAAATCTCCAACTTACATTTACTTTGCTTATCACTCACTTATTTATGAATGGATCTTTCTACAAATCCACAGGTGGTACATGGGTATAGGACAATCATGTAGCAAGGGGCTAATTACACAGAAGTATCCTCATGAGACCCTAGATTACTTATCAGTAAATCTCCCTGACATACCCCTGATATCAATACTCTGACATATTCCTGTCTGATCCTTGCCATGAAAAGACTTGATATATGTACTAGAAGTTAAATGTAAACAGCTTGGATAGTTTGTGCAATGATAATATGGTGAAAAACCGAAAATATGCGAAAATATGCAGTAGTGCAGCTAGGAGGAGATATTCTATTCTACAGACAGATTCTGTTGCTATTCTCATGCAGCTATGTGATTTACAATATATATATATCAATAGGAACAGGCACCCTACCATCCTGAAGGGCTGGAGCTGCAGGAAAAGGTTTCCCAGGGGGTGAACCACCAGGAGAGGGTAAGTATATAGCACCACAGGGACTGATCTTGTTGACATATGCTCCTTATATGTTGTGTATACTATTGAAGGGATGTTGTGGATCATATTTCCAAGTCTATATACCTACAGCTCAAAATTTCCGTAGCTATTTTCTATTTTATGCTAGTACAGCACAGAACATGGTATAGGACGCTCTAGGGGGTGAATTGAGGGCTCTGATAGGTACATATACATTTATAAACATATTCTAAACACTCTAGAGTACCACAATTAGTGTTGCCGCAGCTCAGCTAAATCCGGCTCAGCTTGGTGGCTTAAAGCATGAGCCATTGGGAAAGAAATTCCAGGCAATTATTTGATGTATTGGAACATGTAGAGTACATTTTTTAGTTCCCATAGCTGTGCATTTCATTTGGGAAATGTGCTTCAAGTCCCACAAAAATACAATGGAAGAACTGGCAGCTTGAAGCTGCGGCAACACTAACCACAATACCAGAGGGGCAAAAATGCGAAACAGTTTTTGATATGTTTTTTATTAGGTCACACTCACAGAGGCTCTGTAGCAGGTATTGGTACAAAAACAAAGGGAAAAAGCGGTTTATTATGTTCTATGATGTGTATATAACCTGTACTACTACTTAACTAGAGGCTATATCTAATTGTGGTGTAGTGGTGAGCCAGGGATTGATGGGGAGGGTGTGGGAAAGGTTGATATTTGAGAGAATACCTAAAATGGGCTATGTTTTGGGTGTTGTGGAGAAGTTCCCACAGTAGGTGGTTGAAAATGCGAACATGTGACCCTGTGAGTGGCTGTGCTAAGTTAATGCATCACATTCCCAAATGGAGCAAAGGATGATGCATCAACCACTAGCAGTGTTGTTGCATTAGAAGTCTCTGCTACTCAGCCTGTTCTTGTGCATTAAAATGACATTATAGCCTGGACGAGGCGGCTCGCCGGGTCACTTTGTCTCTAGCGTGGTAGTGAACATACACATCAATATCTAACAGCTATGTGCTATCGCCGTTCAATCTGACTCTATTGTCAGACACGGCATCAATAACTTCAACCATCCAACATTCTAATTTCCCCGCGCAAACTAGTCAGTCGTCTTCTTGATCTCATCATGAATAGTGTTTGATAATGAGGATCAACAACATCACAGGCGATTGTAGTGACATGAGTGAGACATGGTGAATTTGATCATGAATGTATCACCCACGAACCATTGTCGTGTCCACGATATGCCGCCCGGGTAGAACATACTGACCAAGTGTGACTTGCTGTGAAGAAATAGACGCTCTGGAACGCAGACCGTGATGGGAATATAATTAAGCATCGTACACTACTTAAGTAAGTATCTACAGGTAACAGCACGCAAAATCAACCCTGTGAAATAGCAGGTCTCTCCATCTCCTCCACCGTCTCCCCACCCTCGACTATTGATTTGGCCCGTTATCGAACGTTCCCTCACAGCAACCTTTTTCAATCGGGGTCATGCCCCGCAAAGAGGCAGAGTCAACCGTGTCAGCAAGACGGACAGATGTGGGACGAAAAGCGCTGTCAGAATCACGGGCATTTGTTAAACCTATTCGGAGGAGCGAGAAGAATCCGCCACCATATGATGCACAGGACCGCCAGGATGCACTTTGGGAAGGTGAGCAACCTTATTGTCATGCTTGCTGACTTACTCAACACAAGAAGGCGGGAATGAAGCACTCCCTCCTGGATGGCGGCAGTTTAAGATACTGGACGTTAGAACGCACTATCAAGACGACTCACTCATGATGAGTTCATGGGAGCGACCTTTACCAGGGGTACGACTAGGTGAACGAAGAATGTAGAACTAGAAGCAAGGAACTCATGCTTGAGCATAGATGATCCCAGGACAACTTGTTTCCGGATGCGAATGGCATATATCACCACTCGGTCGGTCCTACTTCGTCAATCACAACGCTCGGACCACATCGTGGAAGAAACCAACGCCAGAACGTCCACCAGGGAGCTTGATGCCGGAGTGCATTATCGAGGGTCACTCCAAGTGCATATGGAGTCTTGCTTGCTTGGGCGCCAATTGCAATATCATGAGCACTTCGGAAGACGGTTCCGTTCGGCAGTGGACGAGAGACGGAGAGCCTGTAGGGAAGCCTTGGGATGGTGACGGAGGAGGGGTAGGCGCAATGGCAATATCTCCGGATGAAACGATGGTCGTATGCAGAAGTGGAGACGGCAGGCTACGGTTGTGGGACATCAAAGAGGGCAGCATGGTCGGCAACCCGTGGGAGGGGCATGATGCTGCAGTGAGGTGCCTCGATTGGTCTCCCAATGCCCTGGAGATAGTAAGTGGATCGGAAGACGGCACCATACGACGCTGGAACCCAGATACTGGGCGACAAATAGCACCACCGATAGAGACCAGTCACGGTTGGGTGAATGCTGTCAAATACTCTCCACAAGGCGACAAATTCGCGAGCGGCGGCGAGGACAAGATGATCCGCGTGTGTTCAAAGGACGGGGAGCTGCTCATCGAGATCAAGGGACATGAATACGCGGTGATGTCGTTGTGTTGGTCCCAGGACGGCGCACACATATTCTCCTCGTCACTCGATTACATCATCCGAAAATGGCGGTTGATTGATGGGCAGGAGCTTGTTGTTTTTCGAGGTCATACCAGCAGCATCGTATCCATCAGTCTGACCCCGGATGAATGTCATCTTGTTAGCGCATCAATGGATTACTCAGTTCGCATCTGGGACCTGAAGACCAATCAGCCAGTTGGAGACCCACTCTTGCATGACGACGGAGTCGTGGCTCTTGACATTTCTCTTGATGGAAAATACATTGCCAGTGCTGGAATAGACGGAAAAATCTATGTATGGAGCCTGGAGGCAGCGCTCAAACATCAGGATCGTGATAATGTGAGCATACTTATTTGTTGTCAGTGTATTTCTAAGTGGGCTTGCTTGTCATTCAGAGTGATGATGGCAATGCAAAACCCGACACGAAGCTCAAGGCAAGTTAACTCTGCTTCTCTTTCACATAGCATCTCACTTTTTATCAGGGACGTGCACCCCGATCGAGAGATGCAGTGCGCCAATCAATTATTAACTAGTTCTTCAAATGCTCATTCATCTCGTTAGAACTTAGACCCCCTTCTGGCCTCTAGACAGCGGGCGAACAACAGAGGGGTGGCAAAATATGTCAGTATAACTTTGGGTTCCTGAGCTCTTGCAAGGTTGACCCTGATACAGGGCAACGACTTCTGGAACACTGATAGGAACGGCACGCCTCATCGTGCAGCTCCGCCTGCCACGAGCCCATCATCCCCCCCTCGCTGGCGCAATCTATTCGGTTCGCTGAGTTTCAACACTCCATCTGCAGATGTACCCCAAGCAACACCGCTCCAGCCCAGGCGTTGGAATTTCAGATCTCCCATAAGAATGTCGAAGCAGCCTGTCGACTCGGTTGTTGCTCCTTGTCGCGAGGATGACGTGAGTCGCTCGTCACCACTAATATTCGCCTATTTCTTACTATTCAAATAAATTTACAGAGATATGGCATCGCTCCCGAGACTGACGAAGAAGCGGCGGCAGCTATGCAACGCCTGAACGGCAACAATGCTGACAGTTCAACGACACCCGGACAACCTACAGTGAGTGCACAAGGGTCTCAAGGACAACCAACACAACAAGGCTCAACTGGTGGAGCGGGGGATATTGTCTATGAAGGAGTGAGCTGCTGTGGGTTTTTCTTTGGTCGACGTCGTCCCGCATCGCATCATGCATGAGTTTACATCTGCTGAAACTCTGTCTGTCATCCAATGATAATTGTCTCTTTTCTCTGTCGTGTCTTTATACGCGATCTCACACCGGCTCGTGCCATCCTATGTACATTGAACATTGTATTCGTCTAGATGACCCTATGCAACAATGCTACATCAGCAAAACCCAAGATTCCCTATTTGACTGAGTGGCTTATTTAAGCTTTAGTTTTCAGGCAACTTCGCAAATGCGCGCCAAGGCACAACAAGTCGGTCAAAGAGTTACTTAGCTTAAGCTCTTTCAAGTCGCCCGAGGGGAAAAAGATAATAAGGCTCAAAAATGCGATTAATTAGATTAAAGTGACAAAGATAAGTGCAAATGTCTATGATGCGAGCTCGAAAGCATGATGATCAGCATATTGATTGACATAGATTGTATGAAAACTGTCATATGAGTTATGTAGATTGATACCGTGGTGAAGAAATCGTCTGCCATAGACGGGAATAAGGTGAGCCACACGATAGATCGAATTGACATGTATGATGTTGTAGATAGGTGCATTGTTAGTGCCGCAGGCCGGACGGACCATCCACATCCCAGTATCTTCATCGGGCGAGTCTCCAATGATATCGAACCAGCACACGACAGCACACAGGTAAGTTATTCCTCCATAATTGAATGAGAAGAATATACAAATCCTCGCAACTTCAAGTCCTCGAATGCCCACATCTTCTGACCCAATATTGACGAAAACACAGTCATAACAAGGGGCCTCATTCCGCCACATGGGACAAGCACGAATGTGCTCGATACGCATTCCACCGATCCCACTTAGGTTGCTTGGGGCATAGAACCGAGAGCATGCAGAGTTGAATACCGATATTTTGCCCTCATATTGAGGGCATCCTGCGATAGGAATTTCTGATGCATCTTGTGGATCATCCGGACATGTCTGTTGGAAGAGAAAGCAGTAGACCATCTCAGGTAGATGGGGGATATTCAGCTCTTCAGCAAGAGCCAAAACGGTGCGTGCACGCTTCATCTCTGCATGCAAAATCAAATCAGACATTGACACACAAAAACAAGGGAATAAATATACTTGTGTGCGGTTCATGCTAATCACGTATGCACTTGCAGAATTGTCGGGCCATGATCCACACCGTCAATATCATCTTCAGGAACTGACACATTGAGGTTTTCGTCTTGAGCATTATCCATTGCATCATTAGCAGGTGCATGGTGACTTGGTCCATCTTGTTGTGCTTATGGGATTAAAAATTAGCTTTCAAGCGGCTGAAAATAGGTTTAGAACTTACAAAGGGCTTCAAGGGCTGCTGAAAGGCAAGTTCCATTTAACATCCCACGGCTGGTGAAGTCGACTTGTGTGGCAGTGAGTTTATTGAGCCATTGATTTGTGACAAGCATTTGACTGAGTGCTTGATATTTGCTCGATCGCCTCCACGGACCTTTAACAGCCTTAATGTGTTTGCTCTCTGTAATAGACGAGCAGAGTCCATTTGGAGCGCCAAAGAGTCGGATGAGCTGCAGGTAATGAGAGAATGTAGATATAGTATCACTTTCCAGGAAAATCTTGCGATAATGATGGAAATGGCAAACAGCATCTTGCAGTTTCTCCAGCATGTGCTCGGTTATAGCATTATTCCGTACAATGTAACAAAATTTGAGAAATGCACAGAACGTGCATACAATATCCACTGGGACATGTCCCTCAATGGCTGCAATATAAACCTGATAGATTTTAGCTTCATTAAGGTGAAAAGTAAAGGGACATGTACCTTCATAAGCGCTTTCGAATTGTCTCTGGTCTATTGCTTGAAGCCATGGCCTTGTGGGAAATGTCTCAGGCCTGCGAAAGGGGCAACAATAGCAATTCTATTGAAGGTAGAGTCGGAATTAGACATTAGAAATGAGACATGAAATCAACATACCTATGATCAATGTCATCCAAGATGTGTCGCGTGTCATGTGCTCCATGTGTTTGTATGAGATACTTATGGACCTAGTCCACGAGATGGTCCTTGAACATGCCTTTAATGAGCTGATGTAAGATGTTGGGTGCGATCAGCTGGCAAATATCAGCGCGAGGAAAATCATTAGTGAACGGCTGTGGATATAAATTGTAGTGAGAACAAGAAAGAAGATAAAAATGAGAAGACTGTACGACGAGATCTGCTACAACTCCAAACTCATCCCATGGTTCCAAATATGTCCCCATGTCAACAAGTTCTTCTGTATACTCTTGACATTGAGGAAGTGTGCCAGCTGCATCAAGATCATGATTTGGTGCCATACATCTTGAATATACCATAAGTCAAAGATATAGAAGCAAAAAAGAGACAATTACCGTGGACACCAGCATCGCACAATACACACCAGCAGAACTTGTTCTTTGTAGTCAGCAATGTAAGGTCCAAGGCCATAGATGATGCGCTGGAAATGCCCATCACCGAATTTTGCAACCTCAGGTTTCATCATTCTGGGCCTAAGTCTTTCAAGAATCTTAGAGAGTGAAGAATGAAACAACTGGCAGCGGAATTTTCAGAAGTGTGGGTCACTTGCATGCTCCTTTGCAGCTACTAGGTCATCAGTATGTTGCATAATACAAGAAGCTATTTGACTCACTCTTTGGCATGGCAAGAAAGCCAATGACTGCGACTGCATTCCGGTGCAGCACTGCCAGGACATTGTTGTGGATGTTCCCAATGGACAGATAGAGCGGGTAATATTCGTTGTTCCCGGTTCCTACAGAGACTGTCATTTTGTCACTTCTGAGGATGACAGGAATGAAGGTGGCGCCCATTGTATCTGGATCCTCAGAAATGGTGTCCTAGTATAATACATTAGATCCCTAGAGTATTCATAGCAATGGACATGTACATACTGCTTGATCCCATGCCCAGTCAGCAGACATGAAGTCCTCCATAGCGGTGCTCCTCTCCTAAGGTCGAGTACTCTTGATAAGGTCGAAAGTCCGTCTCATGTGTGAAATCGGGGTTTGCCAGCATGTTGCAGCCCACTTGATGTGGATCTTGGTACCATACATCAAAGGCACTGTCCATCCAGGGCGGATAGGTACCCTCAGGCTTCTCACCTGTATACAAGCATGAAAAACTCTCCCACTTGACCTCTCCCAATGGTATCGTGTCAATCGTTGCATAGAGATCTCGATGGTCTGTGAAGGGTGGTGTGTCACCATGTTTGAGCAAGGTAGACGCCCATAAGGCAAGGTGCGTGTCAATTTTCCAGGCAGGTGTTGGGTTCTGAGTGTAGAACAAATCAGCAGTTTTGAATTTGGTGCAGTTATGGAATGGCGTCCAGTCATTTGGAGATTGAGGTTCATGAGATGGCGGCAGCACATTATCATTGAGAAAATGACCATGGGCGTCACATGGACATCCTGTAAGCCATTTTAGTAGCTAACTTAATGAGAGATATGAAAACAAACCATTGAGTTGGGTGTGATAGTTGCGAAAAAAAATGGTTTCCACGCCCAAAGAACTCAGTATCAACATCAGGCGGGGGAAGACCTCAGCCTGTCAGCATGGTGATCATGACCGTGCCCAAAGTCGCATTCCTCATCATCAGGTGGGAGGGGGAAATATTAACCGTTGTACTGATTTTCAAGTTCTTGCAACAGGACATCTGGGACATCAATGTCGATGTCCTGCTCTGGTGGCGGGGAAGATATCACAGGATGGGCTGACAAGATATGTTTTGTGCACCCTGCACCCATCTTGAAAAACTGCTTGCACCCTGCATGTCCAAATGGGAGTTGCAAGGCATTAAAATCCCTGCGCCAAATCTGAGTGCAAGGGATAGTATCAGGCATAGTTTCAGTGTCAGGAGGATTGTTATCTGGGCATTGGGGCAGATAGTGTATTTTTGGCGTCGGGAGGAAGCGTCAGTAGGATTGCTGTTTGGGTGTCAGGGAGATAGTGTATTTTGGGCATTGGGAGGAAGCATCAGCAGGATTGCTGTTTGGGCATTGGGAGGAGAATTATCGCAGGTAGTGACATGGCCAGGAGTGAAGCTGAGATGTTTGAAGACTAAGGTTCAAAAAGTGCTTAGCGCTAAGGGTTAATGTGTTCCGGACAAAATAGGGTGCCACTTACAAATTTCTGTTCTGTGTAGTCGTTTTCCTTTCTACCACCCACACACTAGTACAACTCGGCCTGTGCATCCTGATCCTGCCCTTCTTTTCACTGAGTCACTGCTTGTCATGGCTTCTCGTCACACATGTGCTAAAAATGCTACAACCCATCCTGGTCAGATCATTCTTGACACACAACCAAAACAACACACCAAAGCTGAAAAACAAGCAGATGATGACTGCTTGACAGCAGCCAGGGCACAAAAGGAAGCGGATGCCCTAGCAGGGCTCACCAGACTGGCAGAAATGCAAGTCCAGATGGAAGCTACACAGACTCAAGCTGCTGAAAAGCCCAAGGCAGTCAAACTGCGACCAATACCAAAGGGCCGCCAGGCACATACCAGCCACTCAGAGGAGCCCTTTTCCTTAGCAGGTTGCCAGTATACCATTGGCAACATGGATGGTCCTGGTGAGACGTTAAGCTTGAAGGATCAGATTTTCGACGAAGATGAGTCATTGGGTGGTAGCAATATTGGAATTCCAGGTGGTACAAAGCAGAAGTCAAGGAAACAGACACTTAAGGCAGCTATCTCAACTGTTAGAGAGAATATTGATGCAGATGTCAACAATGCGCATGCAAACAACAAGAAAGGCAACTCGTTATTGTGCGTGTTTCTCTCAAATTGTTATGATGATGTTTATGTTCACTGAATCTACTCTATATTTTCTCAATTTCACCTGGGCATCTAGAATGAAATATAGTCTAGGTGGCTGCATTCAAAGCTAGAGGACACACATTAAGCCCGAGACATTAAGTTCCCAGCAAGGATCACTTGCTAGTGCCACTCAACCGCCACCCACAATTTTTTCCAAAGTATTGAAGAGGACCTCTGTCAGTTCATGTGCACCTCCCCCTCCTAGCAGCAAAGCAGATGATACTGAAGATCTTGTTGGAGCTTTTGGAGATGAGGACTTGGATGAAACACTTGAATGGGAGGTAGCGGCACTTATGTCAAAGAGTCAGGGTAAACAACCAGTGATGGTGAGTGAATTTTTTCAATTGTGATTTGCAGGTTTGTGCCTCTTAGGCTGATTTGAATCTAGTCTACCATTAGTATTTTATCTACTAGCACCGATCCTGACTTCAAACCACCACTGAGCACTCAACCCTGCTTGAAGAATCGCACCTTGATGCCACCACCCAGCACTCCACCTGGCCTGAAGAATCAGGATTTGATGCCACCACCTTTGATGCAACCCTGAGCAGTATCCAACACAAAGAGGAAGAAGCTCACTGAGGTCATTGAGTTCTCTGAGAGTGAGATCTCCGACTTTCCAAACACAGACAATGACCTTATGGAGGTTGATGGCCTGAATGATGAATCAGATGCTGATATCAAGCCTGAGCCAGTGGGTCAGAATACTCAAGTCAGACACACTACAGCTTCTGTATCTCCCTCCCTTATTTTCTTTGTTTTTTTCACTACTGACTTCAGTCACTACCACCACTTGCAAGACTCCTCTTCCTCCCTCAAAGAAGGTAAAGCTCGAGAAAATGCCAAACTAGAGGGCAACATTAAATCCGAGGGAACATCGACTGCAGTTGCCTGGCACCTGGGTAGAATCAGTATCAAAGGCACATTTGTTGTATTTGAACACAGACCTCCTGCCAGGCTGTCATGAGGATGGAAAATGGGCTCGAGTCTTTTTACCGACAGTTTTTCTGTGGCTTGGCACACAAGAGGAACTCTGGGTTATCGCTGATGCTAAGTTGCTCATGGCATGCAAAGAAATTTTCAAGGTTGTCTATCCAAATATTCACTACAATGTCACTACGTCTGGGTCCGTTTTTGGTGTTGTCTGTGTTACTATTTTATTTGGGGGATGCTACTGATATGTTACAGGTCACACAACATGTTGGTGAATGGCGTAGCAACTTCAGGTCTACTAGCACTTGCCATCGCAATCAATTTTTGTGCCTCCAATCAAGACTCAACACCAGCAGAACTTGCAGAACTCCTTCTTGTGCACTATGCGTTCTTATACCCTAACCCTGATGACATTGACAAGTCAGCAACCTTCCACTCTGCATTTGTCCAGGAACTTCTTGTGACTGCACATCTTTCTCAAATTCTAGGACATGCTGACGTCACTGTTCTCAACACTGACGGCTTAATTAAACACGGTTTTGTTGGGGCGTTGGGGTTGTGTGCTGTTTCAGTAAGTCAATCATAAGTGGATTGTCACCTACTAATTTTTGTATCTGTAGCTTGAACGCGCTTTCTCTCTTCTTGCTGATAATACTGTCACTATTGTCCATGAGGATAACTCAGGGCTGCCGATTACTGCATGGAGAGCTCATCTCAAGATGCCAAAGACCTTCAACAAAGCTACAGGCAAGGAGACAGTCTCAGAGCACACATTTATATGTGGGGCGGCTAAGAAGGGGGAGGCATCAACAGAGCTCACTGTCTCAATGGCATGGAAGCTTCTGAAGAAGCCCGGCTTCGAGAGGTACTCCAGCAATGACTCATTCGAGGATGATGATGATGATGTGGACATTTGGTAAGTTATGGTGTCTTTCACCATCCCCAGGTTTTGACTACATTTGTACTATCTACAGATATGTGAGCCTCACTCCTCCGGTCGAGATCTCCCCAATGTGATCTTTCAATTCATTGGTTCATGCCCTCCCACTGCAATTTTCACCATTTGGAACCATTTTTTTGCCGTTCTTCACTCTCCTTATAATGCATTTTATCCTATTTTTCTCGTCTTTTGTCACCTCTTAACACTCCTTAGTCTCCCTTTAATTCTCTTAACACTTTGTGTCTCTCACTCATTTTTTGACTTAATTACCCTTTTGGGTGCTTTTTAGTGATTTTATGATGCAACCTGCAATGGACTTTGTCGAGTTTTCACGCCTTAAATGATGTGTGATAAGTCGCTACAAGAAGAGGCATGGCCTTAGCGCGTCTTGTGGCGCTCTTGCTCTTTTTTTCCTTAAGGTCCCTGAAAAAGTCAAAAAAAGTCTGGTTTAGACATCCGTGATTTTCCTGATGTAGTATCATCTCATTTCCGCATTATCCCTAATCATTGTTGTGTCACTGACTACTCCATCCTGGTGGGGCCATTTAGATTATACACCGGTTTCTCTAGTCTGGCTCCGATCCACATCATGTCTCTTGTTCATGACCAAACTTTCTTCACCCTGCTCAGACCCCTGGTAAATGTCAGCAACACCATGTAAATGATTGACTTGGTATTATATTACGTATCCCACATGCTACTCTGGCACCAATGAGTACACCTAGCAGCTTTGACCCCAGTCAATTAGTAGCACCTTCCCATGATGCATCACAGCGATCTTATGTGTCATAGGGCGGTGGATATTACATCTCCATTCCGTCCATCCATACTAAGTGAGTTCCCTGATTCTGGACTGGGGATAAGCAGATGGCATATCTGTTGCGTTTGTCGTTAGTTCATGGTTAGTGGACGTCTATGTCATCCGATTAGTGTGCTTGAATTGTGAATCATGTGCCTAGAACTGACGAGTCAATGGTGCATCTGAATTACATCAAAGAAAAGGAAGTTTATCAGCCTCTTGTTTGCAATTATGTTCAATGTAGCCATTGCATCAGGAAAAACCCAAATAGCCGTAGCACCGGTCACAAATATGTAGCATTCCATAGCTACCATATTGACAGGTAGGCACCTGCTTAACTCTGTTGCTCGATGTACCCAAAGTACCTGAAACGGCAGGTATGGAGAGGTACAGAAATGATATAACGAGGTGCACCAAACCATAGTACATGTAGCTGTATGTAGTAGCAGACAATCTATGTGATGGCGCTCAAAATGCAAAATGTATTGAGGTTGATAAATTCATTGAAATAGAAATTACTCGCCAGCTCATAGACATTTGCGCTCTTCCAGCCATGCTCTACCTTATGACCCATCTTCAGAACAAGGTGACACGGCCGAATGAGTTCATCAATGTGTACCACTGCTGAATTTCGACATAACTGACAAGTCGAACGAGAGACTTGATGCAGGCCAGAAAACTGGTCTGCCTCTCTGAAAGGCGTGAACCATTCTATATAGGCAAGAGGTCGTGAGTATGCACCAAACTGATGAGGCAGAGTGAATATCACTGCAGACCTGTGCCACTTGCACTCCTACAGCTTCAAATCCGTCACTTTGCATCGTCTAGCAAAAGACAACTACATACCATCAAGACTTCGCAACCTTGATGCCCAGATACCATCAGTCACCAAGGCCATGTTGAATCGTGCTGGAGACCCAGGCTTCCGTCCAGAAGCAGAAGGAACTACTTCGGGTGTCACCCGGACACACAGGCGCTTCAGGGACTCCGAAACACGAGAGTTGGGAGGCGAGATAATAATGACTTGACAGAAAACATCGAAATGATCTTGAGGACCAGGCACGATGTGATTGTGTGGCAAGTGGTTGTATAAAAATGACTTGAGTGCCAGTAAAAAATCAGTGGCACCATGTATAGTTTCAATGTGTTGAATGGATTGTCGGGGGTGCATGGGTGTCTTAGCAAGGATGTGAACAATCTCCCATGCGCTTGACACGGCAGGAGCCAAGTCCGAGTCGACAAGGTCTTCATTCTCCGCATCCAAGTCAGAGTCATAATCACATTCACCTTCTGTACTGTTGGCTTGAGATTGTAGTGAAAGCCAATCGAGGTAAGACAACTGCCAGAATATTGCTTCTTGTCATTGAAGCCACAGTGCCATCTGCTCTTCGTAGTCACATTTGTTGCTTGCTCGGTAAGATTCTTTAGGGCCTGGACAGCTGCCCTTTATTTCGCAGTTTGTTTCATAGTTTATTTCATTTACCACAACATGCACAAATAAATGTGACAAGCCACCATCCAGTGTTGTGAACCAAATTGAATACATTGCGCAACCTCACGCCACATGGTGTCAAAACCTTCATGCTTGCTGTAGGCAACAGCGAGCTCAAGTATTCTATCATTTCAATAAAAAAAATTGTACATTCTCATGGACTAAAATCATTCAGCATGTATTTATTACAGTGAACAAAATAGATAGTATCTGATTGCCAATAATGAACAGTGTGTAAGAAATGTCAGCGAAGCATGAAGGTTGTGAATTGGACCTTGTTGTTAGTCGCAGTCGATTGTGATGACAGTGCTGCCGCAAGCCAATCTCATGGACATGTCACGAACACGTCACTGATTGTCACTGCAAGTCACACATTGCCATGCCACATACAGAAACACACTGAGAAGCAAACTCAAAATAAACGGCAGCTGTCCAGGCTCTTAGCAAAGTCAATATGCAGATGATCAGGAAGTTCTGTATTGAAACCATCGGCAGCACCGAAAAGTCTGATTGATTGAATGTAGTGCAATGGTTGATGCACCTTGGATCCACTCACACGGTGACAACGCCACCCATGCGCAGCTCCAGTGGTCATCAGAGGTGTCCCACTGAAAAAGAGAATTACTGTAGTAAGTGTGATTTTTTTTGCTGGTAACCAAACATCACTAACAGACTGACATATGGGCCATAGTCTCTGAAGTTCAACAAGTTGGGCATTGCCATCAAGACAAGCAAAAGAAGTCTAGTCAGCAAACCATCAAGGCACTCCGTGCTGTCTACAGAGCCCACCCAGAAGTGCGAAGAGCCTACCAAGCTCCATAGTGACATTGATGCCAAGGAAGATACCATGGTCAGTCTGAATTTTTTAACTGCGGGCAAATACTCACTCCAGCACCTAATTAGTTCACAGATTGAAGTGTGCATACGAAGCTTTCTGGTGCAAAGACACTCACATTCAACAATGGAAAAATGCCACCATCATACTCCCACCTCACACCTCTTGCATGTGACTTGGGCTCCTCTCGCGAGTCTATCCATTCGAGTGCTAGCAGTGGCCATGACTCCGAGCCAGATGAGGCTGTGGATGATGACGACAAAGTTGAGTTGGTGGCTCAGAGTACCAAGCGGCCCTTGGACACAACATTTGAAGAACCAATGATGCCAAAGGTAAAGAAAGGTATGGGTGGGTCAGGCCAGTGTTTGAAGGCTGGCGACTTCAATGGAATCACCAAGGAAATCCTCACTTCAGCAATCATACTTTTCCACTGCCTGATCGTCACTCAGTCACCATTTCCTGACTCCATCATTGTTGAGACGAAGCTTGCCAAGCAGGCTTGGCATCAATCATGCCAGGCAAAAGGCATCAATGTCCGGCTGATGCCTGTGTTGATGAAAATGGTGAGCTGTCTAATCTTGCTGTGGTCTTGAACTAATTCATTTTGCAATCCAGATCTTGAAGTGCACCTCTCATGTGCGTGGTGAGCTTAAGATGAAGATGTGATCCCTGACAGGGTCATTTTTGGCCTCCGCGCGAGCAACAATAGGGATTTCATCAGGCATAACCATGATCGCGCCGAGAATCTCAGAGAAGGTTCATTGTTTGCTTACCAGGCATGTCATGGATTGTCAGCACTATCTACTACTGATGGTTATACTGCTAGGACTGGGAGTCAAAGCACGGCATCTACAAAACAGATTTGCTGCAGATGGGCGCCAATCATATGTGGTTTGCAAACCGCAATGATGAGGGTGTCATTCACCATGAGTACTTCAACCCCTTCCCGGTTGAAACCATGGCCCTCATGCTTGCAGCCATGAGTTGCCGACCCAGTTCTTACTAACACCACTGATCATGTTGACGCCAGACAGGTTGAATGTTGTATCAATGAATGGATTACTGGAGTCAAGGAAGATATCAAGTTCTCAGCTTCGACTTATGCATCCTGTCTACCATGGTCATCTCGACTCATTGCAATGCTTTGAGGAGCACACTGCCCCATACAAACTCCTCAAAAAATCCATGTTAATCTCCATGACTTGGCTCAGTGTGTTTGGCTTCGTTGATGAAAATTTTTCTAATATAGTTTTGAAGGTTTCATGTGGGTGTCGGCTCTCTTCTCACAACGTCTACTGGGTCTCGTGTCAGTGAAGAAGCATTCAATGATGCTATGTGGGAGTATGAGCTTGAGCTGCAGGATGAAGCTAGTAATGAGGAACATCAAGTGAGAGATGGGGCTGGGGCTGAGGGCAATTGGATCGATTGAAGGCTCATTGGTAATATACATGTTTGTGTTATTTGAATGTAAAATCCAAGTCTGCCAGTTGCGAGGCGCACACATCATACTATTCTGTGTGATTAGGAGGCTCCAACAATGTTCACTACTAGTTTACCAAGTTACTAATAGATCTATATAGTGCTACATATTGCTATGATATGGTTAATATGTTGCATGCTCTCATTGCGTGTAGCACATGATAGTATTATGTTGAAGCCTCGGGTGCTACGTGGCACTACAAATTGGGGGGATGGCGATAGCACTACACATGGTATGTACACTACAGAGTGCTATATTTTCATCTGTATTTTTACTGATGTGTGATCCTCTTCATTGCCACCTAATCAAACACGGATCTGTCTTCAAATGAGTAGCGATGTTCAAGGGAAAGACTGAATGAGAGATGCAAGATCTTGGATTGAGAAGATGTTCTTGGCAGGAGTTGGAGTATCACACAACATCACAGTTGATATTCCAGCCTGTAATATGGAGACCAGTCACACTTGGCCTCGCTGAACGGCAAATAGCTTGGGTAGATGGCTGATGCACTACTTCGGCAAGCCTGTGCTAACCCGCAGTGTTAGGTACCATGCCAATTCAGGAAGCAGAGGGGTTGGGGCTTGGCTTCAGCTCTTGCGCTGCGCCCTTAGCCGAGTACGTGCCCCGAATTTGGAGCAGGTCTGACATTGTCCGATGGTAGGATGAGTGGACCACTTTGGTCCACTTGGAGGGTCGGGGAGTAAGAGCTACTAGCGGTGGGCCGACTAGGAGCAGAGCGGAGATGGCAGGGAGTGATGTGGAGAGGGGATAGGAGCAGGGGAATGTTGGTAGGGGCAGGAAAGGCGGAGGATAATGCAGAGGGGCAAAGGAGGATATTTGATAGGGGTGGAGTAATAAGGGGAAGACTTGGAGCACGGCTCTAAGTCGGAGCGGAGGGTTGGATGGTCAGAGGTGACAACAAGTTGAGACTTGTGTCCAGAGGAGGCAAGGTCCTACTGAGAATTCTCACAAGATATAACTGCGAGAAGACAAGTAATATTCAGACTGAGGAAAATATCTAAGTACATGATATGTTATATACTACTATGTATGAGGCAGTGACCAGGATAACTATGTTGTAAAGCTATGTACCAAGGATATAGTTTGTAAGTGCTTTACACAGGCGAAGACATAAGTCGGAGCGGATATCAATATGTACGCATCAGATCAGTGATTGAGCGGTAATAGGAATTACCGGTGATCTGGAAGTAAGGGTCTATGTACCGAAGGGGAAAGTATATATCTAAAAGGGGAAAGAGATCCAGTTGAATGGAGAAGTTTATGGAAGGGGACCGGTTGAGCAGTTGAGCGGAAGCATAGGGGTGGAGTGCGGACTTGTGAGTGGATGGAGCAGAGGATGGATGGAGCGGAGGGGGTCAGAAAGCGGAGCAGATATCAATATCGGAGCTGTCAGATCAGGTATATGACATGCGGTATGGAAGTTTACCCATGGTGTTGCATTTACCCACAGGTACACATACAAGAAATAACACTACATAGGTCTAATACCCTCACACAATGCCCTCATTCTCTCGTTTCCTTTTCTTCAGAGACTTTACAATCCTAATGAGGTCCTCAGGCACTACCAGATCACAATGGAGCCACAAGCCAAGACAGAGGAATGCATGGGTTGATGACGGAGACAAGCGGTTTTGGAATGGTGGAGGGCAACTTGGAGGGGGTTGCTTTGGCCTGTTCCATGTGAGGAAGAATAAGTTTGATACGCTTGATGACGTTAGCCTTTATCATACCCGCCACAGACCGTAGAGACGATGATACAGATGAGTGCGTCAAGGTAGACTCAGTAAACGAGTCTGAGTCAGTAGACATGACGAAAATTGAGTACTACTGAATAATTTTTGACTCTACAATACCTCACTTTATACTGTCAAATCACTGAGTTGTAATCAGTACCAGTAATGTGTCACCAAGGCGGAAGAACACGAACTTTAGGCATACTGAAGCAGCGAGAAATAGGATTGAAGCATTGGGTCACTGTTGCAGTCAATGACTTCTGAAAAATAAGGATCGTAAGTGGTGAATCCCTTGCAAAATATAACACTGCGGAGTAGACTCGGAGATAGCACGTACCCATGAACATACCCATATACCGTGCTAACGGGTACGGTGTGGCCACGGGTACCAGATCTCTACACTGTACCCATACCCATACACATCGTACCCGCGGTGTGTCCCATACCTGTGCTATACCCTATCTGAGCCTGGACTGACTATAAACCAAGGATTATGCATAGGCTGTCATATCTTGAGTTCATGGCCAGTGCAGACTCTGACATCTTTCCCAGACTTGAGACTGGGACTCAGTAGCTTGAGAATGACCCTCCTCATGATGTTCTGTAACATGTTCATCCATGACAGATCAATAGGAATTACACCAGGTTTGTGACTTTACCTGCCAGTGGCACTCCATTTACGTCTCCTCCGCAGGCTCTACCAGATTCATGTACCTCCTGACCCTCCTTTTCAGCATCGCGTATACCTTTGCAACTTCCTTGCTCCCTTCAACCATCCTTCAAGTTTGTAAGACCTTGAGCACGACAGTCTGTGATATGAAGATGTCGAATGCGACTGAGGCGCACTGAGGGACAGGCACTGAGACTGAGGGCATTGCGAACCAGGTGGAACTGGCGGTATTGCAGGCCAAGACTGGCACAAGAGCTTTCTGGGGAAGAGGGAAAGTACTGTCATTTGTAAGTCGTTTGATTCAAGAATCTATTGTGCAAAGCCACATTTGAACCACCTTCTGTCAAGCACCCAATCAAATCTGGAATCTTAGATGGAACAAGTATATTCCTTCTATTTGGTCTACCTGGTGGATTAACCAATGCATATGACTGAATGATTTTCTGTCTCCAATGTTTTGCTCTACTCTAACCTCGCATTCGAGCAGACCAGACTATGTCAAGCACCTCACTGTGCATGTGTTGTCGTCAGGCTATCCCCTTCGATCATTTCAACCCTCTCTTGACCAACAGACCTCTCACTTCCAGCAGCCACACTCTTCCCATTCACAACATATCCAGGGGTCAAGGTGAGGTACAAAATGGACAATTGGGATTTACTTGACTCTTCATTTGGTACCTTGCCTTGCGATATCAGCAGTTTAAGATACTGGATGGTACAACGCTCTATCAAGACGATTCACTTGTAATGAGTTCACGGGACTGACCTTTACCAGGGGTACAACTAGGTGAAAGAAGAATATAGCACTAGAGGCGAGGAACTCATGCTTGAGCATAGATGATCCCAGGGAGCTTGTTATTTCCGGATGTGAATGGCATATATCACCACTCAGTTGGTCTTACTTCGTCAATCATAACACTCGGACATATAAAAGGACCATGAGCTGCTCATCGAGATCAAGGGACATGAATACATGGTGACGTTGTTGTTGGGACAGTGCACACATCTTCTCCTCATCAGTCAATCGCACCATCCGAAAATGGCAGTTGATTAATGGGCAGGAGCTTGTTGTTTTTTGAGGTCATACCAACAGTGTCATGTCCATCAGTCTGTCCCCAGATGAATGTCATCTAGTTAGTGCATCAATTGATTACTCAGTTCGCATCTGGGACCTAACAACCAATCAGCCAGTTGGAGACCCACTCTTGCATGACAACCAACTCCATGCTCTTGCTATATCCCCTGATGGAAAATACATCATCAGTGCTGGATTAAACAGACAAATCTATGTTTGGAGCTTGGAGGCAGCGCTCAAACAGCAGGATCGTAATAATGTGAGTCTAACCATTGTCTTGTCTATCATATGCTGTGGTAGAACATACTGACCAAGTGCGACTGGCTGTGAAGAAACAGGTGCTCCGGAACGCGGACCATGATGGAAACACAATTAAGCATAGCAAACTACTTAAGTAAGTATCTAGAGCATGCAAAATCAACCCTGTGAAATAGCAGGTCTCTCCATCTCCTCCACCATCTCTCCCCACCCTCGACCACTGATTTGGCCCATTATTGAATGTTCCCTCACAGCAACCTTTTTCAATCAGGGTCATGCCCCGCAAAGAGGCAGAGTCAACTGTGTCAGCAAGGCGGACAGATGTGGGACGAAAAGTGCTGTCAGACTCACCGGCATTCATTAAACCTATTCGGAGAAGTGAGAAGAATCCACCACCATATGGTGCTCAGGACCGCCAGGATGAACTTTGGGAAGGTGAGCAACCTCATTGTCATGCTTTCTGACTTATTCAACACAAGTAGGCGGGAATGAAGCACTCCCTCTAAGTGAACCGACCTTTACCAGGGGTACGACTAGGTGAAAGAAGAATGTGGCACTAGAAGTGAGGAACTCATCTCCTCATCAGCCGATTGCACCATCCAAAAATGGTGGTTTATTGATGGGCGGGAGTTTGTTGTTTTTCAAGGTCATACCAGCAGTGTCGTGTCCATCAGTCTATCCCCAGATGAATGTCATCTTGTTAGCATATCAAGGGATTACTCAGTTCGCATATGGAACCTCAAGACCGATCAGCCAGTTGGAGACCCCCTCTTACATAATGACGAACTCTATGCTCTTGCTATATCCCCTGATGGAAAATACATCATCAGTGCTGGAACAGACGGAAAAATCTATGTATGGAGCCTGGAGGCAGCACTCAAACAGCAGGATTGTAATAATGTGAGCATACTGATTTGTTGTCAGTGAATTTATAAGTGGGCTTGCTTATCATTCAGAGTGATGATGGAAATGCAAAACCCGTTTCACATAGCATCTCACTTTTTATCAGGGATGTGCAACCCGACCAAGAGATGTGTGCCACTCAATTATTAACTAATTCTTCAAACGCTCATTCATCTCATTAGAACTTTGACCCCCTTCTGGTCTCTAGACAGCGGGCGAACAACAGAGGCTTTGGGAAATATGTCAGTATAACTTTTCGTTCCTGAGCTCTTGCAAGGTTGACCCTGATACTATCATACAGGGAAATGACTTCTGGAGCACTGATAGGAACCACACACCTCATCATGCAGCTCCACCTGCCATGAGCCCATCATTCCCCACTCATTGGCACAATCTATTTGGTTCGCTGAGTTTCAACATTCCATCTGCAGATATACCCCAAGCAACACTGCTCCAGCCCAGGCATTGGAATTTCAGATCTCCCATAAGAATCTCAAAGCAGCCTGTCGACTTGGTTGTTGCTCCTTGTCGTGAGGATGATGTGAGTCACTCGTCACCACTAATATTCGCCTATTTCTTACTATTCAAATAAATTTGCAGAGATATGGCATTGCTCCCGAGACTGACAAAGAAGTGGCGGCAGCTATGCAACGCCTAAACAGCAACAATGCTGATGGTTCAATGAACACATGGACAACCTACCCTGGCGTGCTGTTGTAAGGTGAAGTCAGTGGGGAAGAGGAATGACAATGAGGAATATGTGAGTTACCGCTGAAGTACTGACCATAGAATGAGAGTTTCAGGTTTGTAGCCACCAAATGAGTCGTTTGGTTCAACTTCAAGTTCTAGTGCACAGCCACACTGGCATGTAGTCTTAGTAGACTCACAGAGTATATCGAATTGTAAGACGGAACGAGCTCTATCATCGTTCTATTTAGACTGCCCTTGGATTATAAACCGACGTGTATATATAACTGAATGGTTTACCGTGATTTTCTGTCTCAGTTAGTATATTTTACTTGGTTTTACTCTAGAATCCACTGACATCCCATTCGGCCAGACTATGTCAAGCACCTCACTGTGTCATCGTCAATTCTTGCAAGCTCTTCTATTCTGTCTTATCCTTTCAGAACCCCAGACTCAGATGTGACAAAGCAGTAAGAGTGTAGATGCTTAATGATAGCACTCGACTGAGTGTGAATGCATGAAGATGTTGGAATTAGCAAGTCGTCCATATTGTTCTGACTGAAAATGTTGCCCTTACTACCCGTCACATATACCTCGTGCGTAGCACATATTTGATTCATCACTAATTTACGCCTTTTCATATTTAGTCTGCTATGATACGTGTTTCATACCTCAGGTGTTGTCTCTCTCTCAAGTGTGCGACTGAGGTTAGTACTCTTCTTATCACTTATGTTCTTAGCATTTCTTACTTATGCCAATTACCTACAGTATACTATCTTTATATAGTCACGCACGGCTGAAGTTATACTTCTATCTGGTTATGAGCCCCGACTCCTATTGAAGTCCTACCACCTCACACTTCCCTGCCAAACTGCAAGACCATATCCGCGATGTCTACCACTGTCCCCATCACAACCGATACCCTCCCAAGCAATGTTCCAAAACTGGGCAATTTTCTCGCTCTGTTTCCAGATTGCTATTGAGGCGAAGGAATTATGGAGGCAATTTGATGGGACAACCCCACGTCCTGTCGGCGCATCCATGACTGCACCAGATGGCACTGTTGTAGTGTCATCCCCAGACCTTGATGCCCTTGCTAAGTGGCTAAAAAGCGAAAATCTTGCAAAACATTCGCTCACCCAGTGTATTCCCAATTCTACTGTGCTGCATGTATGGAACCTCACCGACGTCGCTGCAATGTGGATGGAGATCGTGTGCAAATACACTGAGATAGGTGCCTATGCGCAGACCGACCTTCGCACTAAGTTCCTGGAGTCTAAGTGTCCTGGTAACTCTGACATTCGTCAGTTCTGAGATGACCTGTGTGCCAAACGAGATGAGTTGGCTGCTGTCAGGGTCAACATTGAAGAAAAGGACTACCACTCCACCATCATTCAATCTCTCCCCAATTATCTTGCAAGCTTTGCATCCGGGCAGCTGGCTACTGCCCGTCTCTACAGCCCAACCCAAACCATCAACCCCAACATCCTCATCTCACTCATCATTGAAGAGTCTGAGCATTGCAATCACAAGGATGGTCGCAACGGCAACAACCGCGTTTACCGTCAAAGGCTGTGACAGCGATGAGGCCTTCTCTGTTGCCCCAGGAGACTACTCCAATTGCAGGCATGGCAATGAATGTGCACCATCTGCAATCCATCCAACGACATCATTGGTCGCATCCCCAGGTCTATGTGAGGCCTGTCCCGCATCATTCATGACCGCAACACAGACAGTGCAAACTTGGCAGTTGAGACCATCACCGTGATGGAACTCCACTGCTGCATGGGGCACATTGCCCCATCTGTTGCATGTCATTTAGCCGAGAACGGTGTGGGTACAACAAGCGCAGCAGCGAGAAATCAATCTACTACAAAGTTGGGTCTTTGCTGCCTACTGCCTCACTTGAGAACAAGCACGTTCGACCCTAAAGGGGATTGCTACTGGGGAGTGCTAATCTCTGTCTAAACGACCCTATTCAGCCCTACTGCAGGTAGGATGAGGATCCACAAAAATGTGGAACAAGCAGAACTAGCGGAACTCAAGCGGAACAAGCAGAACTCAAGCAGAACCCAAGCGGAATGGAACAGAATGAAGCGGAACTCAACTGGATACAATGCAGAATGTAAGGAGTCATTGGAACTTGCAGGTCAAGTCAAAGGAAGTATATCACAAGGTTAGATTGATAGTGGGCATAAGTCAAAGCGGTCCCCTAGTAAGGTGAAGGAACAGTGGGAAGGTAAAAGATGGGATTTGATCAAAAACACCCAAGCCCTGAGTACCACTACTTAAAGGGAAGATTATTTTCAAGAAACACTGAGGTACAGGTAGTAAACTTCTCAGGAAGCGGAAGTGAAGGCAGGCAGTGCACATGGGCGCAATACTCCGGAATAGGGGTCTGTGCCATAAGGGCATGTGTCAGTGTGATCTGGATAACGTTAGGAACAACAGGAAGGGAGATACAGCGTACCAAAGGACCTGGAAGGATGGGGACAGGACATGCGAAGGTTGTCCGATGATGCGCAGGAATATCAGATAGTGCGGGTGGGTTCTGAAGGATGCGTGGGAATGCAGAACCCATTGGATGATTCATGGGAAATGTGGAACGTGCGGAATATGCGGAACTGATGTGAGACAATGTGGAAAGGACGGGGTTTTACACCTACAGTGGGGGAATTCCCCACAATGGGCTAGTGTCAGGTGTAAAGGTGGGCTTATCTTCTGGGGACAAGGTATTCTGTGAGTCATTGTTAAGGTCGTGCTCAAGGGGGAGGTTACTCAAAGGGCTTCGGCTTCAGCTCGTGCGCTGCGCCCCTTACCCAAGTACATGCCCTTAATTTCCGGTGGGCAGAGGGGAAGTCTGATGGAAATCCAGGGAGTTCCAGAGGACAAACATCGGTGGAGTTTGGCGGAACTCCGGAAGACTATGTGGGGATGGAGTAAGGCTACTATGGAAATCCGGAGTAGAAACAGAACAGAGGTTAGACTACCCTAAGGTAGAGCCAGAGGATTAGTCCTAAGGTTTAACCCCTAAGACTTGGAGGTGGACAAGAGGTGAGACTCAAGTCCAGAGATTGCAGGAATGAGCAGAACTAAGATGATATTCAAACTGAGGAGTTCTGGAGTGCAGGTATCGACATCAGGATCGGATTCGCGGTCGTCATCGGAATTGCAGCCGTCAGCATACATGCTGTTGCTAACTCTCAAGTCAAAAAGTTGTTACCCAAGAAGCGCCCTCCCCTCCGACAAATTCAAGAAGAATTCCTCCAGTCTCATTCCCAGTGAAGTATTGCCTTCCTGCGCTTCTGCTGATCTTTTTCCGAAGATTTGAAACTTAAAGTATTTAGCACTGGCCTACTGTGTACATGGTTGGTTTTTCTACTGCTCTCCACTCGTACTTATTCCAGCTTCACACTGACTCAATGACGTGTCAAAGGGATGAATCCATGCCCATGCTTGATGTAAGTAAAACAGTCCTTTTGCATGCTGTTGCTAACTCTCAAGTCAAAAAGTTGTTACCCAAGAAGCGCCCTCCCCTCCGACAAATTCAAGAAGAATTCCTCCAGTCTCATTCAGAGGAATTCTTTGCGATATGGGATCCGGCTGAACAGTTGTTTTTCTTCAGCAGACTCTTTTCGAGTTGGTTTACACATTGGCCCGAGCAGAAAGTGTTGTTTCCCGGTACACCATTTTATAAATTGACTCCAGACCAAATGGCCGCAGTAGGTGATGCGGTGCAAGAACACCACAAGGTTTGTCTTTCACTGTCTTGTAGAAATTATATGGGTACTGATAGTGTGCTCACGTTCTCAGAATCTTATGGCCTATTACACCTCGTCTGACAGGCGGTATCCCAGATGCCCCAAGGCCCGAAGCTGTGCGTCTCATGATTATCTGCTGCGCTGTTCTCACATCATGCTTGCTACAGAAGCTCTATTAATCATGCGATTGTCACGCAATTAGTCTAGTAATAAAGGTGCCAACTTGCAGATCATGTAAAGAACACATACACTCTTTGTTGCTATGTAGCCAATTCGGACCTTTGAAATACTAGAATAGTACTTGAGTACGCTTCATTGAAAGAAACTAAGGCTAAATAATAGCAAATTTACTCGCTCACGAGGTCCTTGATGAGATCAGAACCAAGACGTGTGAACCTTCCCCCCTCACCATTTTCCATTAAGCGCTAGTGCATCTAATATCAAATGTGAGTCTCAGCACCGTGTCATAATGCGTAGACTCACCATATTTTTCATTGACTGCTAGTACGTCCAAATATCAAATCAAATGTGAGTGTTCGCAGCCATGTCATAACACATCTGTATAGACTCACTGCGATGAGAAGATGGGTAACAGGAAGTGGACAACAAAGGAACAAGCAGCACTCCTGGAGACGTTCCTCCCAGATTACCGTGAATGTATCCCCACCAAGAATTATGACGCTACATTGAAAAAAGCCTGCCTGGAGTTTTCAATCATTGGCCAGAATGCAGCGTGATCTTTCCAGACATCCCAGCCGATCAGGCACTGTCGGTTCAGCAAACCAAAATCCTAGCAGAAGCGGTCAATACTCGGAGACTGGTAAGCATGCTACAAAAAAACGCATCAAACACAGACTAAAACTCTCGCCGCGTCACAGCAAATCACGCATTGGTACTGCTGGAAGACCAATGTGTCACGCTTGAACCGTACAAGCGCGATACGGGGGGTGCTCAAACTTGATGCGATGTTGATGGGTGGGGTGACCAAAGGACGTGCACCCCGAAAGATGCACGTCTATTCGCAAGAGCACTATGACAAGAAGGTTAAGATGGACGCGGACAAAGCCATTTGCATAGACAATATCACCAGCCATGGTCCAAAGCTGAACAAGTGTTTGGCTGTCACTCAGGAAAAGTTCGAGGCAGAGAGTGAGGAGGTGAAAGAGGAGGTGGAAAGGAAGTATCAGGAAGCAAAAGCGAAGTTTGCCAGAGATCACAAGTGCCTGAGGGCTGGTAAGATGCCAAAAGTCAATGAAGAGGCAAAAGTCAAGTACGTACCTCCTGGTGATTGACTGGTGAGATTTCTCATTGATGTTGTCAGGGCCATTCGGGAACTAGGACCGATGCTAGACTGTGTGTTCCATTACATATCTCACGCGACCGGCGGCTGGAAGTTTTCGGTCCTCATGGCAGGGCCTGACCCAACGCAGGGTGGGACGGTGGTTTATGAGTATGTTGATCTCTGTATGTTAAACTGCTTATGTGAGCTTATAGTACTGTTGAAGTTACCACATAGGCGAGCTCGACAATGGTGTTCAGTTCAATAAATTTTGCGACAAGTTTAATGTCGTCCAGGAAGCATTTTTGGACTTTACTAACAAAGCACTTTGTAAGTAATGTTTTCTCAATATCAAGTTGTGACACTCACTGTGTCGTGCAGCATTTGAAGCCAGTCTCCCTGAAGACGATGACGAGGATGAGAGCGACAACGACACCAACAATAACTCGGAGATGGATGACATCACAATCCCGACCAACACAATCAATGGTGCAGATGAAGCTAGCAGTGGTGGTGGTACGGCCGTAGGTGAAATCAACAACCCTACTTTTCACACAGATGGTTTGTATCGCATATCACCTGATTCAGAGTCACAGGAGGTGAGTAATGCATTACACATTCATAATGCATTACTCATGGTTCTTACCGCACATCTAGCTTCAAGGTCAGTGTTCTGTATTACCCAATGATTTTGGTTCAATGGAGGCAGGCCGCTTGTTAGATGAGGTGACTCAGGTGAGTAATGTTACTAATGTACAAGCTGCAGGTAATGTATCCTTATTGACGTCCAGGATCAGTGTTCTGTGTTACCCCGCCAACTTGATTTCCAATATCCCGACCTCAATTTTAATCAGCTGGGCTTAAACAACAATGCTCTGGCTTTCATGACCGCCAATGATATTCAGTTCCAAGCGCCTGCCCTGGACTCGTTCACCCCAAACTTTGTGAGCACCGCAGAGAATCACACCACTGGTTCTCAGAATGATGTTCCTCAGATCCAAGTGCCTCCTCTGGACTCATTGACCCTGAACAACCTCACCACCGGCCCTCAGTTCCAAGCCCCCTTTGAATCAATATCCGACATGCCATTGATATTGCCCCCTCCATCAACTCCCCTGCATACCCCACATGCAACTGATGTTTGCCTGCCTGCGGTTCCCGATGAGGAAACTGGTCCAGCGGGTCCTGACTTAGATGTAGCGGTCCCTTCCCCTCCTAACCATCGCTGACATACAAGGACGACTTGGACGTCTGTAGTAAGCGAGGATGCACAGCAGATGCCTCCTCCAGAAGAAACTCGCCAGTGCTGTGCGCGCAATGTCACTTTCAATAGATGCGAACTTGACAACGCCATTGGTACTTCATCTGCTCGACCACATGTAGTGCCCAATTCCAGTGCCAAGCAGAATGATCCAAGTCAATTCAAGTTGCATAATGCACGCAACAAACGAGGACACGACAATGATGTAGGCTCAAACAAGTATGTCCAATGATTTTGTTTATGTTCTTTACCCATAGATCTTTTTCTTACAGGAGACACAAGCGAGGGTAAATCAAGCGGTCTTAATCATGCTGATCTTACTTAATGTCTAGTGTCTGAGTTGCTCAATGATTAGTCTATATAATTGAGACTCAATAATGTAATCTTGACCACATGTTGATATCAGTTGAGGTTTAATAAAATGTCTAATGTGTTTCAAGTGCGATACATGCAAGAGAACTGTGTATTATTGTTGGGACTTAGAAAAAATTCATGACACAGCTGGGACTTGGAAAATTGCGTATGCGGAGATCTCCGTGTTGGACTTAGTACTTACATGCAGGCATGCTATGGGTGGCTATATGGCAAGTCCCAGTGCTATCACACTCGAACCGTAAAGTTTAATTCAATTCATGGCAATCAAACAACTAGAAAGAGTGTGAATAAGAATAGAATGCACTGCAGGGTAGGGGGCTGCCAGGAACAGGGCCAGGAAGGCAAGGGCTAGCCGGGACCAGCCTGGATCAGGAATACAGCTTTTTGAAGGCCGAGAGGATGTCACCTATATTTGGCAGTACAAGGACCAAACAAAATTTTTGAGTAGTAATGCATTACAATACACTTAATCCATTACACTGCTGGTTTGGGTGAGAAGGTAATGCAACCTACACTTAGCATCACTCCTGCATCACTTCTCACTGATAGTTAGCCTGGTTTAATGCTATAGAATGACAATATAGCCTGGATTCTGGACTGTGGATAAGCAGATGACATATATGTTGCGTTCATAGTTAGTTCATAGTTAGTAGGTGTCCATGTCATTCAATTAGTGTGCTTGAATTGTTAATCGTGTGCCTAGGACTGACGAGTCGGTGGTGCATCTGAATTACATCAAAGAAAAGGAAGTTTACCAGCCTCTCGTTTGCAATTATGTTCAATATAGCTGTTGTGATCCTCTTCATTGCCACCTAATCAAACACAGATCTGTCTTCGAGTGAGTAGTGACGTTCGAGGGAGACTGAACGAGCAGATGCAAGATCTCAAAGATGTCCTTGGCGGGAGGTAGAATATCATAAAATAGCACAGTCGATATTCCAACCTGTAATATGGAGACCAGTCACAACTGCCTCGCTGAATGGCAAATAGCTCGGGCCGATGGCTGACGCACTACTTTGGTGATGTAGGTACATGAACTGTGCATGTTTGATCTTTGGATCGGAGATATTCCCCCAACAATTGGCGACAGCTGAGCCTGGACTGACTATAAACTAAGGATTATGCGTAGGCTGTCATATCTTGACTTTATGGTCAGTACGGACTCCGACATCTTACCCAGACTTGAAACTGGGTGTCTTGAAAGTGAAACTACTCACGATGTCCTACAACATTAAATCAGCGCATTCATGAAAGAATTACATCAGGTCTGAGCCTTCACCTGCAATTCCATTTATACCTCCTCTTGAGGTGCACCCAATTCCACATGCTTCCCGCACCATCCTTCGCAACATCATAATTGTTTTTTACAACTTCCTTGTTTCTTTCAACTGTCCTTCAAGGTTGTAGGAGCTCGGCCATGCGTAGCGACAATGTGCGATATGAAGATGTTGAATGTGATGGAGACCCACAGAAGGATACAGTGTAGGGCATCATGAACCATTTAGAATCGACGGCTTGCAGCGCCAGGCTGGCATGCTGTTGTAAGGTGAAGTCAGTGGGGAAGAGGGAATGACAATGAGGAATATGTGAGTTACCACTGAAGTACTTACTATAGAATGAGAGTTTTAGGGTTCGTAGCCAGGTGGACCACAGGAGTCGTTTGGTTCAACTTCAAGTTGTCAAATGTCTAGTGCACAGCCACACTGACATGAGTGGATCGCGAGCTTGTGAGCATTGACACATGAAACATGGCCTTTGTAAGCAATCACGTGAAGATTCTCCTGCTGTGCGCTTCGATCTAAGTATTGCACACGTCCGAACGCACAGAGTCAAAAGGACTCGATTTGAGAATCGACGCATCATTCCCTCTTCATCTCTGCGCTCATCCCCATTTGCGCGTCGCTCTCTCATTTTTGTCCATTCTCTTCTTGACACTGCAAATCTTCAACAAATCTGCCTCATGTCTTCCTTGACCCTACCTCCTGGCACTTCGGCCATTTCAAATTCAGCTTCTTCTGCCCCAACGAGTAATTTGTTATCAGCTCCTGCCACCTCATCCGGCACCATGACTTATAACCAAATCCTTGCTGAAAACGCCCACAGAATCGCAGACAATATTATATTACAGTCACGCAGAGATGCCGGAGACACTAACGTCCCAGCAGATGAACTCTTGATACCGGTCCCTCCTCAGCCATCTGGGACAGCACTTCAACAGTGGATATCGGCATTTACCCGACTTTCGCCTGCTTCTCAAACTCAAGGCTCAGCCATTCTGGACTTGATCATTCCCAAGGTCGCTTCCAGGCCCAACGTCACTTCTTTAGCCAAGGTTCTTTTTGATACATCCAAAGAACTTCCCACTGGCTCTGGGGTAGACTCTACTTATAGTTTTGGTATCCACAGCTTCATTCAAGATCTTTTCAATGCCGGGCAATACTGTCCACTCACGCTCTTCACCAACGCTAACACGGAACGTCTTCACCGAGAAGGCTACTCCCTCAAACGCTCCAAGATCAACGTCAACGGCGTTTTGCACCATTTGCTTGATCTCTCCCAACTCGAGAATGAGTTGGAACTGGACACCTTGTCCTGGCAAGAAGCCTATCAACGCTACCTCACATGGATTAAAGATATCGGCGACCCCCTTTCACACACCCGCTGGTCGAATCATTTCACCACCCTTTCCAAAGATGAAGCCATATGTAAGAATTTTCGTGCTATCCTTGAGTTTGATGTTGAAACTAGACAAAACTATGCCTTGCGTCCGCACCAACACTGCGAGCACGAATGGCGCAATCAACTACAGACAAAGAAATACAAGACCATGCAAGATGTCTTTTTTCGGCAGCAAGAATTTTCCTCTCGTTCTTCTGTGGATCATTCCATTCACGCTGCTCGTTACGAGCCCTACGACAAGCGCGCAGGCAAGAAATCATCAGACACAGACACTCAGTCCTTTCAGGACAACAAACCCGCCAAATCCACCGACCCCATGTGTATCATCTGTGGCCGATCTGGTCATCGTCCAACGGTTCTCAACTCTGCGTTACCTTCAATCTCAATAACCCCAGACGTCCCTGCAAACGAGAACACGCCGATCAACATCTTTGCTCCTTCTGTGGACGTTCAGAGCACAGCGCCTTGTTGCGTCTCTGCGTCTGAGCTCCTGGATGAAGACTTCTTCTTGTTCTGTACTATAGACTCTTCTTGCGCATCAACCCTTCCTTCACCGCGGTACATATACCATGATCACCTGCAGCATTTCTCATCGCCCTACGACAGCGACCTCAAATATTCTTACATCAATACGCCCTACTTGGCTGATGGTTTCGACATCCTTCTTGAACGAACCAATCTCACGCATCAATTTCCCGAACTCACTTACAAGTTGCGCAACAGCTTCACCATTGGCCACGATCTCACACCACTCACCAGCTCTTATACTCCAAATAACCTACCTGGCGCCAACATCTTCAAGGGAGTTTGCGACAAGTACGTCGCTGAAGAACTATCCAAAGGTCGTTACTTGGGCCTGTATACGCATCAAGAATTATTCTCCACAATCGGACACTTTCGATCCTCTCCGCTACAAGTTGTTGTCAAGAAAGGTGTCGACGGCACCCCAGACAAACACAGAGTTTGTTGTCATCTCTCATATGCGGGAACTATGAGTCACTCGGTCAATGATGAAATTGATGCGGCCAAATACCCTACAGAATGGGGCACAGCCGCCGAGTTTGCTGATATTGTACGTCTAACTCTTCTTGCTCCTCTCATACTTCGGTATATGGACGCTCTTTGCGATAATCTCGCGTGCGTCTCTGACACACGTAATCCTGTCATTCAAAGGCACATATACGTACGCATACACGCGTCATCTTATGCACACTTCATTTCATCTCCATCCTCACGATCCATCACACAGATTCGCACTGCCCCTTCAGGTGCGCAATTTGCCACTCTGAACATCGAAGCAGTGTATTGTGGCATCCCCTGCGCTCCTGAGCACAAGTGTTATCTCATCGTATACCACGACGGTAAACTCTACATCAATCATAACATTCCCTTTGGCTTAGCATCTGCTGCAGGCCTTCAAGGGGAAGTCGCCAATGCCACTGTCCAGATATGGCACACTCTAGATGTCAAACCTTCTAAGAAATGGGTCGACAACATTGGCGTATTTCATTTCCCATCTCCTCGCAGCTCCTTTCCCACCATCTCAGATGGCAAGCTCTATCACTATGACTACAATCTTCCATATGCCAAGTCGCTCATCGCTCTCGCTCAAGTCCCGTGGCACAAGGATAAGGGACAGCCTTTTTCAGACACCAGGGTTTATCTAGGTTTCTTCTGGGACGTTCCTGCGAGAACGGTTATCCTGGTGGAATGCAAACACATCAAATACATCACACATCTCTCTGAATCCCTCACTCTATATCGAGACGCGCAAGTTCCCAAGCGGGAGCTAGAACGCATCGCGGGTTTCTTAAATCACGCCTCTTTCGTCATTCCTCAGGGTCGCTCTTACCTGTCTAATCTCTATTCCAACATGTCCGATTACGGGACAGAAGAATTCATCACACGCTTCATCAACAAGTCCACTAAGTCAGATCTCAAGTGGTGGCTTAAGACTCTCACTCATGTTCAATCACCCCTCGACTTATCACCTCAACCTCCTACTAGGGACTACGGCATTTGGGTCGACGTGTCCACAGGTTCGGGTATAGGCTTGCTCTGGAATCAGCGTTGGGCTTTCTGGCGTCTGACAGAAGACTGGCGAGGTCCATCACGGGACATAGGCTGGTTGGAAGCCACAGCAGTTGAGCTGGCCATTCGTCTCATTCACGCTAAAGGCATACGTCATGCGGACATCTTAATTCGCAGTGATAACCAAGGCGTCATCGCAGCTGTTCCAAAAAGGGCACTGTTCCAACTTTATGATTAATCTAGCCATTCACCGCTCAGAGGAGCTTCTACGCGAATCTCACCTGTCTCTCTCCCTCGTGTATGTTCACACATCAATCAACCTCGCGGATCCCATCTCCTGGGGTATTTTACCTCCCGTCGTCTCACAGTCTCTCATCACCCCCCTCTCTCCCTCCTGATATTGAATCGTTTTTTCTCTAATGAATGAGAGCGATCTTTACAGACGGGTTATGCAGGGCGTCGACATCGACGCCTGCTGCCACTGCATTTTGGGCAGCTCATCCTCCCTCTGTTCGTCAATCCGTTTCTCTCTCTTTGCAACAATCTCGTACATGTACCGCACGCACTCCACGTGCCAGTTCATCCATCATTCCTTCTCAACACTGTCCTCTCGTTCTTGCAAGCAATCGTCTTCTTCTTTGGACCACTCCGTCAGGTACAGACTGGCAGGCTACGCTCAAACAGAAATACCCTGATTCATCTCTCTTTTGCTTATTCCAAGTATGCCTTCTCACATTCTCTCTTCATCTCATCTCACATCGATCATTTAGGTTATGATTCATTCTCTTGATACCGACACGCGTAGCAACTATGGTGCGGGTCTTCTCTGCTTCACTCAATTCTGTGACTCTATCTCCATACTGGAGACCGAGCGCATGCCTGCGGCAGAGGCTCTATTAGCTCAATTCGCGGCTGTGTTCACAGGGACCACTTCTTCCAAGATGCTCAATAACTGGCTCACCGGCCTACAATTCTGGCACGTCATCAACGGCACTCATTGGCAGGGGTCACAGCTTCTACATCACACCAGACACGGCTTTACTAAGATGGTGCCTCCTTCATCTCGCAGGGCCAAACGCCCACCCATCACCATAGATGCCTTATGTCTTTTATTTGATCATCTTGACCTCACTCTCTCTTTTGATGCGGCTGTCTGCGCAGTTGCTCTTATAGCTTTCTGGTGCTGTTGTTGGTATGCATCGCTCACTCTCTTACTTGCAGCACTTCTCAATCTCCTTTCTCACAGACTAGGAGAGCTGGTTATACCTAGCATCAATGTCTTCAATCCTTTGAAGCATGTCTCACGTTCAGTCACGCCGATTTCACCCTTTGAAGTTCTGGATAAGAACAACTCACAGGCGGCAGTCTTTCACATCCCGTGGACCAAGATCACAATGGAACGAGGTGCTGACATCTCCCTCACCTCGCGAAATCATCGTACCTGTCCTTTGAATGCTTTGGAATGTCATCTTCTCATCAATTGTGGCATTCCCAACGACGCCCCCCTGTTCGCATACCTCACAGCCTCTGGATGGGCCCCTATGACTAGGACAGCCTTCCTCGCGTGCTGCAATGAAATTTGGGTTTCGCAAGGTTTCCCTAACTTGCCGGGACACGTGTTTCGCATCGGGGGCGCCACGGAGTTACTGCTTCAAGGGGTTCATCCAGACATTGTCTCAACTCAAGGGAGGTGGTCATCAGATGCATTTCTAGAATATTGGCGTTGTATTGACACTATCTTACCATTGTTCATCGCTTCATCGGCCAATACACAGTGTCTGGCTGACCTAGACCTGGTCATGGACTCTTTTGCTCAATGGCATCACTTATCTCGTTCTGCCCCATCATCGTAATACTCATCGCTTACTCTGTCGCTCATCATACTTTGCGGGCTTCTCGCGTGTTATCTCGCATTCAATCTGACATGATTCTGTGCATCCATTCGTTCGCTTTAGGTGTGTGGGTTGGGTCCGTCAGGACCCACCTTCATTGTGAGCTTCACTCTATGGTGGTCTGAATGCGTGTTTCTCCTGACGGATCATCGATTTGGTCTGTACATGTCCCGCACTGAACATGCTCCGAAGGTCTGTTTCCCTGATCCCAAACTTTTCAATGATCAAGCCTTTTGCTTGTCATCTTCCAGGATCACGTGCTTAGTCCAGGTGCTGCCTCCCACGCATGCCTGGCTTCGCCAGACCTTCCCACACACAAAACGAATCATTAGCATGTTGTCTTCAACTTGATTTGTTATTAAGCCTCCTCAACTCGCATAGATAGTTCTTTATACGTTCACACTCTCCACAGATATCTTCCTTGAGTCTACATTCTATCTGTACCTTCTCTGAGAGCAAATATCAAGCTTACCTCAACATCATCCTGCCGACTGGATATTTGATCATCTCATCATCTTCTTCTAGATCACACGTTTCATACAAAGGTGGACCACAGGAGTCGTTTGGTTCAACTTCAAGTTGTCAAATGTCTAGTGCACAGCCACACTGACATGTAGTCTTAGACTTGCAGAGTATACCGAATCGTAAGACGGAACGAGCTCTATCAGACTGCCTCTGGATTAACCGACGCGTATATATATGACTGAATGGTTTACTGTGATTTTACTCTAGAATCTACTCTAACATCCCATCTGGCCAGACTATGTCAAGCACCTCACCATGTTATTGTCGATGCTCACGAGCTCTTCTATTCCGTCTTATCCTTTCAGAAGCACAGACTCGGATGTGATGAAGCGGTAGGAGTATGGATGCTTAATGATAGCGCTCGACTGAGTGTGAATGCATGAAGAGACCGGCGCACGTTCGACTCCAATGGTAGCTCATTTGGAAGATGCTGGAAGGTTGATATAGTTAGCAGCCGGTGTAGTTATGCGTTAGCAACATCGAAGCAGTGGTCGCGGCAGTTGCCGCAGCAATCGCAGCAGTAAGTGGCGCAGCATTTTCACGATGTCCCCTGCTGACTAATTATAAGCTATGCAAAGTTCAAACTGTTCTCCTTCCCGAATACTTACCGTGTCTCGGTTGTGTTTCACTGCTCCGTATATGCCTAGGACTGAATACCTGTCTCGCGCGATGTCACTAGACACCCGAATACCGTCTACCGCCTCGTTCCCAAATACCAGACTGCCAAATAATCGTCAATCAACTCCTTCTCTGTCGTGCTTCCATACACGCTTCACTGACATGCGGCATATGCACGTCAAGTACGTGTTCGAGCGTGTGCTAACTCATTTGACCAGTATAGCTAATCAGATTGCTCGCTCCTCCACACCACCTCTGCCGTCCCTGAGTTCGAACCCCATTTCTTACTGTCCTTGTTCCTTCATCACACCATCACATTTTATTTCTGCCTGGTGTCCATGAAAACTTGAAAATGTATGAGTAAGTTTGAGGTCAGTTCGAATCTCAGGATGAACAACACAGACGATGATCTCGACCAGCAGACCTCTCACTTCCGGCAGTTGCACTCTTCTAATTCACATCACCATCCAGGAGTCAAGGTGAGGTACGAAACGGACAATCAGGATTTACCTGACTGTTCATTTGATACCTTGCCTTGCAATATGGACTAGGCCCGTGTGTCAGACGAGTCGAGTGGGTTGGTTATGAGTATAGATCTGGACCCTTGAATGACTGTGAGGGTGCAGTTGTCCGACACTCGTGGAGGATTAACCATATTATAGGCTATGAAAGTGAAGCAGTCGTGACGAGGCGACTCACTGGGTCACTTTGTCTCTAGCATGGTAGTGAACATGCATGTCGATATCTAACAGCTATGTGCGATCGCCGTTCAATCTGATTCTATCGTCAGACACCATCAACCATCCAACATTTTCTAATTGCCCCCCGCAAACTAGTCAGTCGTCTTCTTGATCTCATCACAAATAGTGGTTGATAATGATGATTAACAACATCACAGGCAATTGTAGTGACATGAGTGAGACATGGTGAATGTGAATTGTCGCTATGCCATGTTGGCATCATTATCTGGTTGTCAATGGATCACGCTTGAGCATAAGAATCATCGTCGTGTCTATGATATGACGCCCAGGTAGAACATACTGACTGAGTGCGACTTGCTGTGAAGAAATAGACGCTCTGGAACGCGGACCGTGATGGAAATATAATTAAGCATCGCAAACTACTTAAGTAAGTATCTACAGCATGCAAAATCAACCCTGTGAAATAGCAGGTCTCTCCATCTCCTCCACCATCTCTCCCCACCCTCGACTATTGATTTGGCCCGTTATCGAACGTTCCCTCACAGCAACCTTTTTCAATCAGGGTCATGCCCCGCAAAGAGGCAGAGTCAAGCGCGTCAGCAAGACGGAGAGATATGGGACGAAAAGCGCTGTCAGACTCACCGGCGTTTGTTAAACCTATTCGGAAGAGCGAGAAGAATCCGCCACCATATGATGCACAGCACCACCAGGATGCACTTTGGGAAGGTGAGCAACTGAATTGTCATGCTTGCTGACTTACTCAACACAAGCAGGTGGGAATGAAGCGCTCCCTCCTGCATGGCAGCAGTATAAGATACTGGATGGTAGAACGCTCTATCAAGACAACACACTTCATGATGAATTCATGGATGCAACCTTTACCAGGGGTACTGACTAGGTGAACGAAGAATGTAGCACTAGAAGCGAGGAACTCATGCTTGAGCATAGATTATCCCGGGGATCTTGTTGTTTCCGGATGCGAATGGCATATATCACCACTTGGTCGGTCCTACTTCGTCAATCACAACACTCGGACCACATCGTGGAAGAGACCAACGCCAGAACGTCCACCAGGGAGCTTGATGCCGGAGTGCATTATCGAGGGTCACTCCAAGTGCATATGGAGTCTTGCTTACTTGGGCTGCCAATTGCAATATCATGAGCACTTCGGAAGACGGTTCCATTCGGCAGTGGATGAGAGACGGAGAGCCTGTAGGGAAGCCTTGGCATGGTGACGGAGGAGGGGTAGGCTCAATGGCGGTATCTCTGGATGAAACAGATGGTCGTATGTGGAAGTGCAGACAGCAGGCTACGGTTGTGGAACATCAAAGAGGGCAGCATGATCTGCAACCATGTGGGAGGAGCATGATGCTGCAGTGAGGTGCCTCGATTGGTCTCCCAATGGCCTGGAGATAGTAAGTGGATCGGAAGACGGCACCATACGACGCTGGAACCCAGATACTGGGCGACAAATAGCACCACCGATAGAGACCAGTCACGATCGGGTATATGCTATCAAATACTCTCCACAAGGCGGCAAATTCGTGAGCGGCAGCGAGGATGAGATGATCTGCGTGTGGTCAAAGGACAGTGAGCTGCTCATCGAGATCAAGGGACATGAATCCACGGTGACGTCATTGTGTTGGTCCAAGGACAGCGCACACATCTTCTCCTCGTCACTCGATTGCACTATCCGAATATGGCGGTTGATTGATGGGCAGGAGCCTGTTGTTTTTCGAGGTCATACCAACAGCATCATGTCCATCAGTCTGACCCAGGATGAATGTCATCTTGTTAGCGCATCAAGGGATTGCTCAGTTCGCATATGGGACCTCAAGACCAATCAGCCAGTTGGAGACCCACTCTTGCATGACGACCATCTCCACACTCTTGCTATATCCCCTGATGGAAAATATAAAAGGACTAGACAATCGTCAAACCTCAGTCGTAGACAACGAACTGGATTAGTATGTACCTAGACAATCGTCAAACTATTGTAGTTATGTCAGCGTCTAGGTAGCATACGACAGAACAAAGAGACATACCCTCAGTCATAGACAATGAACTGAGGAAAGAGAGAAAACCGAGAGAAAACAACTATATAGTGGTTTGAATTCCTGTCCAATACTCCGCTGAGCCGCGTCACGTTGTCACGTGCATATCCATGTGCCAACACTCCTCCTCAACGCGATGCGTGCTCCTCCTCAACTTCATCACCATAAACCGAGGTAGTTGCATAGGCGACCATGATCCTTCTTTGCAAGGGCCTTGGTAAAGATATCGGCGAGGTTCTCATGGGTGCGGACATAGTGTACTTTGAGTTGGCGGCATGTGATGCGTTCTCTGATGGAGTGGTAAGTGATATTGATATGTTTAACTTTAGCGTGATATGAGGCGTCTTCGGTGGGTACAATAGCGCCGTTGTTGTCACACATGAGGGGGGAAGCCAAAGACTGAGGAAAGCTGAGCTCGTGCAGTAGCATGCAGGATCCAAGCGATTTCCTTCCCAGCTTCGGATGCAGCGACATATTCAGCCTCACATGTCGACAGGGAAACTGTCTTTTGTTGACAGGTGCTCCAGGTCACAACACCACTACCGAGAGAACAGGAGTATCCGCTGACAGAACGACGGGTGTCCACGCAACTCGCTGAGATCACTGTCAGTGTAGGCAAGGAGGTGTGCCACATGTTCTCCGCCGAAGAACGAGGCTAAGGGTGCATGTGCCCTTGAGATAGCGTACGACACGTTTCGCGGCTTCCCAATGTACAGGTCCATAGGAGTCAAGGAATTTGCATAGTTGCTGAACCACATAAGATATATTGGGTCGGGTGCCAATTGCGAGGTACATCAAGGAACCAACGAGTGATCGATAGGGTGTGCGAGTCATGAGTTCCTTTTCAGCATCATTGCGAGGCGAGTGCATCAGGGAAAACCTCATTCTCAAATCAGGATGAAATCTGATACAACTTGTGTGAATCTGCGAGAATTTGATGGATTTGAACATTTGATCAATTATTTTAGTCCCTTGAAAATTTTCGACAATCGGATCTCAATTTTCGACAATCAGCACAGAATTTTCAGGCAGTTGTCGAATTGCGTCCAATGCCATCAAACAAATAACATTAAATCTCAAACCTAGACAATACAAATGAGTGACCAGTATTTATCATTCCTCCGCCATACCGTCAATATCGAGGAACATGAGACTCTCGGCTGCGCTAGGTTCCTCAGTCTTGCGCTTCGACCCGCTACAACATGATGCAATCAGACAATGACTGGTGTCGAAAAAGGTAGAACTCACTAGACAGACATATACAACGAGTGTCCAAGTACGTGAAATTTGCGCTCGCTGGTCTTGAAGATGCCATTCAACAGGCCAACTAATGTTCGATAGATCCTGCCGTACATGTCCGAGTTGAAGTCTTGGTCGTATTTTTCGGAGGAGTACTGCATAATGACGGAGCACACCTTGAATTATGTGATGCATTAATATATATAACATACCCACAGCAAATAAAACATACTGCAGCGCTAGCAAGTGCCACCATCGCAACAGGCAGCTCAACCTCTTCAGGATGATCATCAATTGTTGATGTTAGATGATCATGCCACTTTACTCCTGCTGCGAGCTCGTCGCTGAAGAAAGCATCCTCGATGGTGTCCAAAATCGCTGGCACTTGAAATGGTTTGGTTCGGATAGGGTCCCCCTATGATGAGGCCACTGGAATCAGCTCAAATATAAAATAAATAATAAAGGTATTATGAACCTTTGCGTTCACAGGATAAATGTAAGCGTTGTTTTTGAGAAGGTCCTTGACCCTATCATCGGCACCTTTTGTCAAACCATAGTGGCTCGCCACATGTGCTTGTGCAGCCTTCCTGACGTTCCTGCGAATGGTGCCAATACGACCTTCAGGCTGCAAATGAGTTCAGATGACAGTGGTAAACTCAAGCCAACACGATACACATACCACCAAAGATAACGCACATACATACTTCGCATCCTTCATAAGCCGTTTTCTTACATCTACAAATTCCGAGTCCTCTCCATCTTTCGCACATGACAAGAGTATGTCGGCCATGATTTTCCTCCTTTGCTGGAGGTCCAAGTACGCATTTTCGAAGAGGATGTGCTTGTGAAGACAGGTAATTGAGGCCCGCAACATGTCCTGGATGTGGGGTTGTTGCTCGGTGATATTGACCTTGCCGGAGGCGCTATACATGATGCGACAAGAAGGCAACCAGTCATCTTTGCATGAACGAATAGACCTTGCTGACACTGCTTCATCATCTGCAGGTGGTCCATCACTGGTGGTATCATCAACCTTGTTCGGCGTGCACCAAGTTGGTTTCTGAAACGACGAGTACAGTGAGTGAATGTTTGTGAGAATCAACGAGACTCGTTCACCTCTTGTTCTCTTTGCTTCATGTGTTTGGTTCCTTTCGACAGTGCCACTTTCTGATTGGTCTTAGTACTCGTCCCTTTCAGCTTGGAAGGACGATAGTGAGAGCCGGATTTCTTCCCGTTAGTAGTCAGACTGTTACCTGTATCCTCGGTAGCAGAGTCCATGGTACCAATGAGGGCCTCGTCATCAGAAACCGGTGATGTACTTGGCATTGAGCTGAATGTCGAAGCAACACTGCTGTCTACACGAGAGTGTCACTTAGTACTAGGAGGAGGAGGTTTGTTCACGTACTGTCGTTATGTAGAGTAAATTGAGGACGCTATGCGAATAATCAAGAGGATCAGATGTCAAATCATCAATGACAATAGCACATACCTCATAGTCAAGAGTGGCCTTCAGCTTGTCGCCAATGAGTCCCAAAATACTATCATCATCTGATTCTTTGTTGTTGGACTCGGCTCCAAAATCAGATGAGGCACCATCACTTCCATCAACCTTGAAGTCGTCTGAGTCAGACTCAAAAGGTTGTGCCGCTGGCCATGTAACACTGCTCTTCTGTCTGTTTGCAGGGTCAGGTTTTTTTTTGTCCGCTATGGCATATTAGTAACAATATACAAAAGTCTAATCAAACTTACAAGTTTGTGCCTGCTTGGCGTGATCAGGCTCAGCCGTGCTCGATGCGGCCCACTTTCGTGTCTTCTTTTCTGACATCCAAACTGTAATTTTGCTCAAGTGAGTCAGAAGATGTGGCTCGACTCAGACAGCTGGCGCACCTTGATTTTTCAGTGCTGTGGCCTTGGATTGTCGGGAAGGTCCTTAATGCCAGATGATCAGGCTATCAGAAAAACAAAGCGAGACTGATAAAACCGTGATGTACGACTCGGAGCAGATTCAGGAGTAGTGGCGGCCTCCACATGCCTCTTCAGCTTGGCAGCACGCATTGCAGCAGCTTTTTCGGTCGGAGTCGACATCGAAGAAATCTGATAGAGTGAGAGCAAGAGATCAGAGTCAGAATTGAGTCAGTCGGATGCGCAACTGAAAAATTTGACACTTACAAATTTGGACTTGGACGTTCTGCTATATCCCAACATACATTCAGCCAGAGCCACTCACTCAAAGTACCACTGCCACTGCATCATGCCAGTCTGTGATGGCTGCGGTTGCATGTTTAGTGAGAGTGGTTACTCTTGTCACCTCGCACGAACTAGAAATTCTGCCTGTGTCAGCATCTACGAGGACATGCACAACTACATGCCTAGCAGTCCCGGTCACTCACCACAGGTAATGTCAATATTAGTATGGTTGTGGCACATTCATGCTGACATGGACACCAAGACTCAGAACAACGAAGAAAATCACAATGGCCCGCACCTATTTGAAGGTGATTTTTTTGATACCACACCCGAAGACCTTGAATGGCCTGTAGACGAGGAAGACTATCTTGATATGCCAGTGGTGGATGACGATGAAGATGAGGAAGTTGAGGGCGAAGGTGGTGTGGCTGAACAAGAAGCAGATTGGGAACCTCCTATTCGAAGAGCTGAAGAACCGGAGATCAACAGTGAACAATCAGAATATTCCCATGGATGAAGATGAAGGCAATGCTGACGTTGTTCGCCAACGCACTCATCGTCATGAGGCCGAACTTCCTCTGCACCATCACCATGGCCCATATATTGCAAGCTTTCCACTTCGCAGCGCTGGAGCCATAATTGAGGATGCGGGCGAATTTGAATCTGACCAAAACGGATATCAGTCATATGGTGATAAGATGAGTCAAGGTGGTAGCTGTGTTTGGGCGCCATTCATCTCACATATTGATTATGAAGTTGCCCGATGGGCAAAGCTGAGGGGGCAAGGCTCCACTGCTTTCACAGATCTGCTTGCCATTGAGGGGGTGAGTTGAAGTCTTCTCTGGCAATACAATGGTACTAACTTAGATGAGCACAACAGGTTTGCGAACGGCTCGGCCTCTCTTACCGAAATTCCCGCAAGCTAAACAAGATTATCGACAACCAAATTCCTGCCCGGTGGCCTCATTTTAAGCGCCAGGAAATTTTGATGGCAGGCGAAGCCTTCAATGCATACTTTCGGGATATCCTGCAATGCGTCAAGTCACTGTTTGGAGATCCAGAACTTGCACCTTACCTGGTTTTCGCCCCTGAACGACACTATTCCGATGAGGACCAGACTCAGAGGTTATATCACGACATGCATACAGGCAATTGGTGGTGGCGTACTCAGGTGAGAGAATTAACAATGACTTGGGGCCTTGCGCTGATTGAATTGAAAGAAACGACTTGAGAACGAAAAACCCGGTGCAACTATAATACCCATCCTGCTTTCATCGAACAAAACTCAAGTCACCATGTTTCGAAACAAAGCAGCATACCCGATTTATATGACTATTGGAAACCTCCCCAAAGAAGTATGATGACAACCCTCTCGAAACGCGCAGATACTTGTTGGTTACCTTCCCACGACCAAGCTCGAGCATATCACAAACAAAACAGCAAGGCGGCGTTGTCTTGCTAATCTGTTCCACGCATGTGTGCATCATATTGTTGAGCTGTTGGTTGAGCCAGGAAAGGATGGGATGCTGATAGCCAGTGGTGATGGAGTCCTCCGTCGCGGTCATCCTCTGGTGGCCTGTTATATTGGAGATTATCCCGAGCAATTATTGGTGACTGGGATGAAGACCGGAGAGTGTCCGAAATGTGACATACCTTCTAGCGAGCTTGGCAGCAAAGACCTACCTTTTGAGCTGCGTGATTTGGATCGAATCTTAGATGCGCTTGCCCTTGTCGATGAAGACCCGAATCAATTTGCAAAGGCTTGTCATGATGCAGGTAAGGGTTTTTCACTCTGTTTCATTGGACCGTTAATGCTGGCCCTGTTGCTGACTCATCGTTCGTTTCAGGAGTAAAACCACTTTATCATCCTTTCTGGGAGGAACTCCCGCACTGTAATATATAATGCAATCACCCCCGATGTTCTCCACCAATTGTATCAAGGCCTGGTCAAACACCTTATCGCTTGGATTAAATCAGCTTTCGGTGAGGCAGAAATTGACGTGTGGTGCAAACGTTTGCCTCCAAACCACAACATCCGCCTATTTATGAAAGGCATCTCGATTCTGTCGTGAGTTAGTGGAACGGAGCACCAGCAAATATGCCGATTTCTCCTTGGCCTAATAATCGATATCCGTTTGCCTGATGGTGCATCCCCCGTTAGACTTATTCGTGCAGTTCGAGGCCTCCTCGACTACTTATATCTGGCACGGTACCCATGTCATTCGAATGTAACATTAGAGCTTCTGAGTGGGGCACTCGACCGATTTCACGATAACAAATCTATCTTCGTGGACCTGGGTATCAGATCATCGTTCAACCTCCCTAAGCTCCATTCTCTCCGACACTACGTCATGATGATTCGAATGTTCGGAACCACCGACAATTATAACACAGAATATACAGAACGACTTCACATTGATCTAGCGAAGGACGCATATTGTGTGACAAATCACAAGGACGAGTACATGCAAATCACACTGTGGCTCGAGCGACGAGAGAAAATGCTGTGGCACAATAAATTTATTCAATGGCGTCTACACCATGGCACCGGAACCGAGGCACCAGATCATGTCCCTCAATTACATCAATTACATCACCCCCTACCCCACTCCGACCTCGTATATCTGCAACAATCCAAGCTAGCGAAGCACCCGTCTGTTAAACGGGTGACATTTGCATCCCTTGCTGATCAGTATGGTGCAATACATTTTCAAGCCGCCATGGCTCGCTTCGTGGTGCAAGTTATGCAGCCCGATTTGACTGCAAGGCAGTCTGAAGATGCTGCCTGCCATGTCAATCTCCCATTCCAGTCGGTTGCGGTTTACCACAAGGTCCGGTGTAGTACTGTGGGTGATGATGGCATGCTAAACAATGTCACCGTTGACGTGATACATGCGAGACCTGCCTGATGTGACTGCCATAACAGGAAAGTTCCAGCAAGGTTTGATACCGCACTTGTAAATCTGGGCAATGGTGGCAAATTGGGTGTGGAAGGTGATTGTCTTGATGTGTGTATGTGGGGATACTTGGACTGACAAACAACTCACAGGATATCGTGTCGCACAAGTTCGCGTGGTCTTCTCACTGTCGGCCAGTGTCAAATGTGCTCTATTTTGCAATGTCAATGTGCCTGATCACTTCGCATATGTTGAATGGTTCTCACCAGTTCACCACACCAGACATTAACCATGGGATGTATAAAGTTTCGCGTGCCCTGTATGATGGAGACAGGCAATCCAGCATTATCCCTATTCAGCAATATTCGACGCTCCGTACACTTAATACCCAAATTTGGGGCAGTGGCTCCACGTGAATGGACTACGAGCAATGTGTTAGATCAGTGTAGCACATTTTTTGTTAACAGCTTCACTGACCAAAATGCATATGTAACCATATATTAAAGGCTTACTGTACACTGCTTCAACTTGAATGGTGAGGACAGTGTTTAATTCTGTCCTGAGTCGAGCCGTTGACAGGTGCTTTCTCACGGTTCAGATGTGGTGTGCAAATTTTTCCCCGTCTTGATTCAATCACCTTGACCATCATCTGTTCTCATCTATTGTGTTACGACTTGGATTCGTGTATTGAGAAGGTTTGTGTGATATATTTATGGTGTGCAAGTTCCCGTTCTATACTACAAACAATTGAACTGACTAACTCGCAGGATTCCATTGCCGAGAAAGAGAATTCAATTCCTGGGAAGCGGTTGGTTGATTATGATTGTAAAATAGTTTCTTCTCGGATCTGACTGGATCTGATCTAGCCCACGCTCGCCTTCCCTGGATTTTGGAGAACATAAGACAGCAAATGGGATCTCACCCATCAAAAAGTAAGTCATAATCATGGTGTCCAAAGCCTGAGTTTCTCACGTCACGTGACAAGGCCTAGAAAACCATTGATCCGTAGATTTGCATTACCGGAATTTGGCATCAGCGCTACCCCTGGGCCGGAAATAGTACAGGCTGAAACTCCTGTCCCGGAAACTCCTGTCCCGCCATACCGTCAGACTCCAGCCCCTCTAACAGTCTCTCAGAATTACATGTGTAAACTCGTGGCAGATCGTTGGGATGCCGAAATCAAACGGTGCGAGGAGGCGAGAAAGGCTCATTTGTTGGAGGTCCAACTCGCTGCTCATGGTATACGGAAATCAGTATAATTATATGTTATACTCTATACTAGTACTGCCAGTACCAAATAACTTTCCCCAACTGTAGTGAATTCTGGGGCCCTGCTAACAATTGTCTGAATTCGGTGAATATTGGATCGTTTTATCGCACATTTGAGAAAACGGTATGTGGTTTTCCACCTTTGATCAAATTTGATCAAATTCTCTCTAATATTAAAGGGAGGTTTTTCCTGATGTGGTCACGGCAAGACAGTCGTAAACCCGGCTCCATGGGGACAGAACAAGGTACAGCATCCTTCAGGCCAAATTGGTGGATGATGCGGTCAATAAGTGCAGTCTGTGATAGTGAAATGGTGCGTGCGGATTGGTCACGAGAGATCGCAATACCAAGACAAAAATGAGCATCTCCAAGCTCAGCTACTTGCCATTTGGTGCGCAGTTCGGCCTTGAATTCAGCGAGGGCAGCTTTAGAACTGCTGATGGTGAAGAAGTCGTCAACATGAACAGCGATGAGGAGGATACCAGCAGTGGAGTGACGGAAGTAGATGCAGTGCTCGCTCTTTAGGCGTGTGAACCCCCATGCCAACATCGCTTCATTGAGGGTTTTGTTCCAGACGAGACCACCCTGCTTCATACCGTAGAGTCCTTTCTGCAGTTCCCAGACATGATCCTCGAATCCGGTGGCAACAAAGCCCTCTGGCTGCTCCATATAGCAAACCTCGTCCGAATCCAGAAGTCCGTAGAAAAAAGCAGTTTTGATGTCGAGCTGTTCGATCTCCCAGTCCAGAGCAGCGCCGAGGTGTGCGAGGATACGGAAGGATTCAAGATGTGCTGTAGGTGCTGAAGTTTTAGTGTAGTCTTGTCCCCAGATGGCAGAGTAGCCTTTGCAGACATAACACACTTTGAAATGGGCGGGGGCTCCATGTTGATTCGCGTTTAAGTTTGAAAACAGGGCGACCTTTCATGAGCTTACGACCTGCGGGTACAGATGAGCGTGGAACAAGTTTATAAACACCTAAGTCCCGTAGAGAGTTGAACTCCTCCTGCAGAGCTGCTGTCCATTCGTGAGCATGAGGTGAAGTCATTGCATCAGCATAGGTAGAAGGGTCGTCTGGTAGTTTGTGATCGAAGTTATTGGGGATGGCAGCAAACACTTCAGAGAGATAAGCTAGCTCATTTTCCAGTGCTTTAATGTCAGCATCAGGGAGTTCGGCTTTAAACGCACGATCAGACATGTTATCAAGATGACGAAGACGTTCAGCTGTGGCCATGGATGCTAGAGCAGCACATTGGGCTGCTGGTACATATGAGACTTCATCGATAGCACAGCGCTTTTCGGTGGGAGCAGGTATGTGTGCAGAACGACGAAGTGGGGGGGGGGGGGGTGGAGTGGGCTGAGTGGGGGGGTCATTGTCATTGTCATCATCGGTGGCATCACTGACAGAGGCACATCATGATGGAGTAACTGGTGCATCAGGTCTAGAAGATGCAGGAGGGTTAGACAATGTGTGACCAGGATGCAAAGGCGTGGCGTGATCATTAAAAGACTCGATAAAAGATACATGATACGAGACAAATACTTTGTTGGAGGCACGGTGATAACACCTGTAAGCCTTAGAGTCGAGGGAATAGCTGATAAGGATACACTCGGTGGAACGGTTGAAGATCTTGGGGTTGTGTCGATTTTGGATGAGAACGAAGGCACTGGCAGCCAATTTCACGCAGATGGGAAAGATCAGGCTGACACCCAAACCACACTTCATTAGGGAGTGTGACCTGCCTGCGATGTGACCGGAGTACGATTAGACAAATAGTTGGCAGTAAGGACAAATTCGTCCCAACGGTTAGCAGGCATATTGCATGAGGTACGCATAGCGCGTGCTTTCCCCATTAGGGTACGATGTAGGCGTTCGACACGGCCGTTGTGGGCCGAGGTGTGTGGTGCAGTGAATTGGTGTAAAGTGCCGTGGGTGAGGAGCCACTCACGCATGCCGGAAGACTTCAGTTCACCATTATCAGAGTGGAAGATACCAACCAGAAGACCTGTCTCGACTTCACGTGCACGTTCCCAAGCCTGTAAGGCTGGAAAGGCATCACTCTTGGAGGCGAGGGGGATGGACCAGGAGTATGAGGAGAAATCGTCAATGACATCCATTATGTATTTATTCCCTGCTGACGGATACAGTATCCGGATGCTCCATCAAGTCGACATGTACAATCCCAAGCTTGCAGAGCTGCGCAATTCCCCTCCCTAACCTTCGGTACACTTGTTCTCATCTGTTTGCCGAGGATACAAGCATCACAAATGGGAGGAAGGGAGGATAGGTCAATAGGCATACCGGTTGCAAAGCCAGAGCGGGCAAAATCATAGATAGCATGGTAGTTCGCATGGCCAAGATGCTTGTGCCAGGTCTCCAAGGTGGGAGTGCGATGCGCGAGGTATGCATGATCAGCAGATAATGTTACTGTAACAGTAGGAGACTACCTCACTACCAAAAGTGAAAGGGTACCATACGCTAGGTGTATATCTCGACACATTTTTCCCAACACATCTGGGTCTTCAAGTACAAGACGGCAGGGACAGCGAAAACAACCATCGACAGCCTACTGGAACATCTTCCACAACTTCGTACCGGTGGAAACCTTCATGACAGACAGCAGACGACACTTCGACAACCAGGAAGTCAAAGAGTTCTGCACGAAATGGGCATGCAAGCGACACATCATTGCAGTGTATGCTCTGTGGATCAATGGCCTCGTAGAGGGAACCAACAAAATCCTGTTACACGTACTGAAACGTCTATGCACCCCAGATCTAGGTGAAGATGACTACAGTGCCATAACATGGGATAAGCTGCCAAAGAGTTGGCCCGACCACTTAGACGAGGCGGTCACAGCACTCAACTATTGCATCCTACCAGCTCTCAAGTTCTCACTGAAAGAACTGTTGTTAGGTCAAATCGTTAACACACCGCATATGGACTTGGCCAATAGTGCATCAGCAGTACGACTTACAGATACAAGCACCCATATGGCCTATGTAGCCCAACAGCAACTAGACGGCTACAATGCAATAGTGAAACATGCCTTCAAACAGAAAGCAGTGTTCAACAAACGAGTTCTCGTGAGGTCACCAAGGGAAGTCATATTTTCAAAGAGACAGCTAGTTCAATTCTTTCACAGCAGCCTCAATACAACATTCGAAGCTGAAACTGCAAGATCCTACCATGCTGGTCACCTCCATGCCGCATTGCAGAACGACTGTGCAACTCATACAGGCTCGAAACATTAGAGGGCACGCCAATGAACTGGAGAGTTCCATGCACACCATCTTAGAAGCTTCGTACCTAGACCAGGCACTCAGTTAGCGAAACAGCAGGAGCAAAAAGAGGCAGAAAGTACGGAAGGACAGATGATCGAGGAAGAAGAAGGAAGTACAGCAGATAGAAACCCAAGTGAACGGTTCAAGAACACAGACGAGGAAGAAACAGACGATGAAGAGTCAGCTGATGAACAGGAAGAGGAAGAAGAAAAGCAGAATCAAGAGGAGTAAAAAAGAGGAGGCGAGAACAAGAAACGGCAGACAGAAGGGAGATGTAGCGACGAGGGTGTCGCTGTTTTTTAAATGGGGGCACGTGGAGTGGGGAGCCCCTAGGCAGAGGGTCGAGCAGCAGGCGGTGTTTGCCGGTGTTTAACAGTGTTTATAGCAAAGGCATAGAGCTCGGATGTAGTAGAGTAGTTCGGCACGTCTTCCTGTCCGTTCAACCGAGAGTGGAATACCCCACTCCAACGGCATCAATAACTTCAACCATCCAACATTCTAATTGCACCGCGCAAAGTAGTCAGTCGTCTTCTTCATCTCATCACGAATAGTGGTTGATAATGAGGATTAACAACATCACAGGCAATTGTAGTGACATGACTGAGGCATGGTGAATGTGAATTGTCGCTATGTTATGTCCGCGTCATTTTATGATCGTTAATGTATCACCCACGAACCGTTGTCGTTTCTACGAGATGCCGCCCGGGTAGAACATACTGACCGAAATTAAGCATCGCAAACTACAAGGTACTTAAGTAAGTATCTACAGCATGCAAAATCAACCCTGTGAAATAGCAGGTCTCTCCATCTCCTCCATCATCTCTCTCAACTCTTGATTATTGATTTGGCCCATTATCGAACGTTCCCTCACAGCAACCTTTTTCAATCGGGGTCATGCCCCGCAAAGAAGCAGAGTCAACCGCGTCAGCAAGGCAGACAGATGTGGGACGAAAAGCGCTGTCAGACTCACCGGCGTTTGTTAAACCTGTTTGGAAGAGCGAGAAGAATCCGCCACCATATGGTGCGCAGCACCACCAGGATGCACTTTGGGAAGGTGAGCGACCTCATTGTCATGCTTGCTGACTTATTCAACGAAAGCAGGCGGGAATGAAGCGCTCCCTCCTGAATGGCAGCAGTATAAGATGCTGGATGGTACAATGCGCTATCAAGACGATTCACTCATGATGACTTCACGGGACCTTCCTTTACCAGGGGTACGACTAGGTGAAAGAAGAATGTAGCACTAGAAGTGAGGAACTCATGCTTGAGCATAGATTATCACGGGGAGCTTGTTGTTTCCGGATGCGAATGGCATATATCACCACTTGGTCGGTCCTACTTCGTCAATCACAACACTCGGACCACATCGTGGAAGAAATCAACGCCAGAACGTCCACCAGGGAGCTTGACGCCGGAGTGCATCATCGAGGGTCACTCCAAACTCGTATCGAGTCTTGCTTGCTTTGGCACCAATTACAATATCACGAGCGGTTCGGGAGACGGTTCCATTCGGCAGTGGACGAGAGACGGAAAGCCTGTAGGGAAGCCTTGGGGTGGTGACGGAGGAGGGGTAGCCCAGATGGCAGTATCTCCGGATGAAACAGTGATCATATGCGGAAGTGCAGACGGCAGGCTACGGTTGTGGAACATCAAGGAGGGCAGCATGGTCTGCAAGCCGTGGGAGGGGCATATTGCTCCGGTGAGGTGCCTCGATTGGTCTCCCAATGCCCTGGAGATAGTAAGTGGATCGCAAGACGGCACCGTACGACGCTGGAACCCAGATACTGGCCGACAAATGGCACCACCGATAGAGACCAGTCACGGTCGGGTGTATGCTATCAAATACTCTCCACAAGGTGACAAATTCGCAAGCGGCGGTGAGAACGAGATGATCCGCGTGTGTTCAGGGGATGGCGGGCTGCTCATCGAGATCAAGGGACATGAAGGCATGGTGATGTCGTTGTGTTGGTCCAAGGACGGCGCACACATCTTCTCCTCGTCAACTGATTGCACCATCCGAAAATGGCGGTTGATTGATGGACAGGAGCTTGTTGTTTTTCGAGGTCATACCAACAGCGTCATATCCATCAGTCTATCCCCGGATGAATGTCATCTTGTTAGCGCATCAAGGGATTGCTCAATTCGCATCTGGGACCTAACGACCAATCAGCCAGTTGGAGACCCACTCTTGCACGACAACGAACTCCGCGCTCTTGCTATATTCCCTGATGGAAAATACATTGCCAGTGCTGGAGTTGATGCAAAAATTCATGTATGGAGCATGGAGGCTGCGCTCACACAACAGGATGAAGATAAGGTAAGCATACTTTTGTGTCGTTAGCATATTTTGTAAGCGGGTTCTGGTTGGTATTCAGAGTGCTAATGATGGCAATGCAAAACCCGACACGAAGCTCAAGGCAAGTCATCGCTGCTTCTCTCTAACACTGTATCTGACCTGTTTTCTAGGGGCGTGTAGCCCGACCGAGAGATGTGCGCCAATCAATTGTTAACTAATTCTTCAAATGCTCATTCGTCTCCTTAGAACTTTGACCCCCTTCTAGTCTCTAGACAGCGGGCGAACAATAAAGGGTTGGCAAAATATGTCAGTGTAATGTTTCGTTCCTGAGCTCTTGTAAGGTTGACCCTGATACAGGGCAACGACTTCTGGAACACTGCTCCTCATCTCGCAGCTTCATCTGCGAGCCCATCGTCCCCCACTTACTGGCGCAATCTATTTGGTTCGCTGTGTTTCAGCACTCCATCTGCAGATATACCCCAAGCCATACCGCTCCAGCCCAGGCATTGGAATTTCAGATCTCCCATAAGAATCTCGAAGCAGCCTGTCGACTCGGTTGTTGCTCCTTGTCGCGAGGATGACGTGAGTCGCTCGTCACCACTAATATTCGCCTCTTTCTCATTATTCAAATAAATTTGCAGAGATATGGCATCGCTCCCGAGACTGACGAAGAAGCGGCAGCAGCTATGCAACGCCTAAATGACAACAATGCTGACAATTCAACGACACCCGGACAACCTACAGTGGGTGCACAAGGGTCTCAAGGACGACCGACACAACAAGGCTCAACTGGTGGAGCGGGGGACATTGTTTATGAAGGAGTGAGCTGCTGTGGGTTTTTCTTTGGTTGTCGTCGTCCTGCCTCGCATCAGGCATGAGTTTACATCTGCTGAAACTCTGTCTGCCATCCAATGATAGTTATCTCTTTTCCCTTTTGTGTGTTTACAGGCGATCTCACCCCGGCTCGTGCCACCCTATGTACATTGAACATTATATTCATTTAGATGACCCTATGCAGCAATGCTATCGTCTCATTTCCGCATTATCCCTAATCACTGTTGTCTTACTGACTACTCCATCCCGGTGGGGCCATTTTTATTATACACCGGTTTCTCTAATCTGGCTCGAATCAGCATCATGTCTCTTGTTCATGACCAAACTTTCTTCACCCTGCTCAGACCCCTGGTAAATGTCAGCGACACCATGTAAATGATTGACTTGGTATTATATTACATATCTCGCACGCTACTCTGGAACCAATGAGTACACCTGCTTTGACCCCAGTCAATTAATAGCACCTTCCCATAGTGCATCGCGGCAACCCTATGAGTCATAGGGCAGTGGAGACCATGCTGAGCGAGTTCCCTGATTCTGGATTGTGGATAAGCAGATGGCATATCTGTGGGTTCGTATTTAGTTCATAGTTAGTCGACGTCTATGTCATTCGATTAGAATTGTTAATCATAATCATGTGCCTAGGACTGATGAGTCGATGGCGCATCTGAATTACATCAAAGAAAAGGAAGTTTACCAGTCTATCCATTGCAAATATGTTTAATATAACCGCTGTGATCCTCTTCATTGCCACCTAATCAAACGCGGATCTGTCTTCGAGTGAGTAGTGACGTTCAAGGGAGACTGAACGAGAGACGCAAGATCTCGGAGATGTCTTCGGCGGGAGGTAGCATATCATAAAATAGCACAGTCGATATTCCAGCCTGTAATATAGAGACCGTCACAACTGGCCTCATTGAACGGCAAATATCTCGAGTCGATGGCTGACACACTACTTCGACGACGTAGGTACGTGAACCGTGTGTGTTTGACCTTTGGATTGGACACATTCCCCCCAAAATTGGTGACAGCTGAGCCTGGACTGACTGTAAACTAAGGATTATGCGTAGGCTTTCATATCTTGAGTTTAAAGTAAGTGCAGACTCCGACATTTTACCCAGACTTGAGACTGGGCGTCTTGAGAGTGGCCCTCCTCACGATGTCCTACGACATCAAATCAGCGCATTCATGAAAAAATTACACCAGTTCTGAGCCTTCACCTACAACTCTATTTATGCCTCCTCTTGAGGTGCACCAAATTCCATGTGCTTCCCGCACCATCCTTCGCAACATCACAATTGTTCTTTACAACTTCCTTGTTTCTTTCAACCGTCCTTCAAGCTTGTAGGAGCTCAGCTGTGCGTAGCGACAATCTGCGATATGAAGATGTTGAATGTGACGGAGACCCACTGAAGGATACGTGTAGGGTTCGTGAACCATTTAGAATCGACGGCTTGCAGGGCCAGGCTGGCGTGCTGTTGTAAGGTGAAGTCAGTGGGGAAGAGGGAATGACAATGAGGAATATGTGATTTACCGCTGAAGTACTCACTATAGAACGAGAGTTTTAGGTTCGTAGCCACCACAGGAGTCATTTGGTTCAACTTCAAGTTGTCAAGTGTCTAGTGCATCAGGGAAAACCTCGTTCTCAAATTGGATAAAATGCGATCTAACTTGCGCGGATTTGCGACAACTCGATGAATTTGACTATTGGATCAATTATTTTAGTCCCTTTCAAATTTTCGCAAATAGGATCTCAATTTGCGAAAGTCAGAACAGAATTTTCAGGTCGCTTTCCCAATCCAATCCAATTATATCAAGCAAATTCTATTAGATATCGAATCGAGATGCAATAGAATGCACAATAATTATCATTCATCCGCCATACCCTCGATATCAAGAAACATGAGACTCTCGGCGGCGCCAGGCTCGTCAGTCTTGCGCTTCGACCCACTATAACACGGTACAATCAGACAACTGCTGGTGACGCCAGGGCTAGAACTCACTGGACAAATTTGTATAAGCCATGCACGAGGACGTGAAATTTTCGCTCGCTGGCCTGAAAAATGCCGTTCAACACGCCGACCAGTGTTCGGTAGATTCCACCATACATCTCCAAGTTGAAGTCGCGGTCGTATTTCTCGGAGGAATACTGCATAATCACCGAACACACCTTTCATAGCATGATAGATCCATCAATATCTATCACAAAGCCACAAACATTGAAACACACCGCGGCGCTAGCGAGAGCCACCATTGCAACGGGTAACTCCACCTCGTCATGATGATCCTCCAGTGTTGATGTTAAATCATCGTGCCACTTTAGTCCCGCTGCGAGCTCGTCGCTGAAGAAAGCGTCTTCGATAGTGTCCAAAACCGCGGGCGCTTGGCGCTTGTGCTGCCTTTCAAATGTTGCCATGGATGCTCCCAATCTGACCTTCGGGCTGCAAGTTAAGACGGCAGTTAATAAACTGAAACTGAATATGACAAAAACGCACCACTGATGATAACACATGCACATACTTAGGGTCCTTTGCAAGGCGTTTTCTCACTGCATCAAACTCCTCACCATCCTTGGTACACGACATAAGGATGTCAGCCATCAGCTTTCTCTGTTGCTGTAGTTCCGGGTATGCGTTTTCGAACAAGAGATGTTTGTGAAGGCAAGTAATTGAGGCGTGGATCATGTCTTGAATGTGAGCTTGCTGATCTGTTAGATTGACCTTGCCCGAACCACTGTACACAATACGACAACGAGCAGGCCAGTCATCCTCACATGAACGAACAGACTTTGCGGTCACTTCAAGTTGTTCATCCGCAGGCGGTCTATCACTGATGGAATGGTCAACCTCAGGTGTGCGCCAAGTTGGTTTCTAAATAAATAAGTGCTGTGAGCGAATCTCCAAGTCAGTCAACAGCCAGGACACTATTGCACCTCTTGTTCTCTTTTCTGAAGGCGTTTACCTCCTTTCAATGCCCCTTGTTCATTCGTCTTACTGTAACTTTTCTGCTTCAAAGGACGGTAGCGAGGCCCAGATAAGTTCTTGCTGGTCAAACCCTTATCCTCGCTGAGGCCATCGTTATCGGAATCTGATGGTGTACTTGCAATTGACCTCATCGACGAGGTAGAACTATTCGCCCGAGAATGCGAGTTAACACTAGTAGTGCTGCCATTGGTTTTGTCGGGTGGCGCAAATAGAGGCCGCTATGAACTGAGTCAAGGATTGTTCAATCATAGGTGACTGTATCGATGACATACCTTGTAGTCAAGGGTAGCCTTGAGCTTCTTCGAGTCGAGTCCCTGAATATCTTCATCTGATTCCTCAAGTTTGTTGTCTGACTCGTTTCCACTATTCAAATCAGATAAGTCACCATTCGCTCCCATCAGGCTTGAAGTTATCTGACTCGGAGTCAGAGTCAAAAAGCTGTGCTGTGTTCTGATTGACTGGAGGAGGCGATTTCTTTCCTGCATTCATAGATATATCAATCTTGTGGTATCAAAAGTAGACACTCACGAATTCGTGCCTGCTTGGGTATGTCGGGCTCAGCAATGTTAGATGCTGCGCGCTTGCGTGGATTCTTCTCAGACATCCAAACTGTGATTCAACTCTGTCAGTAGTGTCGAATAATTCCATTGGACAAAGCCACACATACCTTGATTTTTCAGTGCATCACTCTTGGCTTGTTGGACTGGGCCTGTGCAGATCAGTCAATGAACGCGAATGAGGCGAAAAAAAACATACGTGCTGAAGCCGTAAGTTGATTCTTGCTTTTAACTTAGCTGCTCGCATTACTGCAGCCTTCTTGGTCGGTGTGAGTGACGCTTGGGACATAATGCACAACAAGGACTCAGAAATCAGTGTCAGTGTGCAGGTGAAAAAAATTACTTACAAATTCAGGCACACTCCGCTATCTCCCGATACCTGTTGGCCCCAAACCAGCCCCATACCACATCAAACATTATTCTGCGCTCACCATTGAATCATGCCAATCTGTGATGGCTGCGGTTGCACTTTCACGGAGAGTGGTTACTCTCGTCATCTCGCACAAACTAGAAATCCAGCCTGTGTCAGTATCTATGATGATATGTACAACTACATGCCTAGTCACTCACAAGAGGTAATGTCGCCATCAGTACACGGACGTGCATCAATCTGACATGAATTTTGGCAACAAGATTTTCGAGGACTTTGACAGTGATCACCTCCCTAGCAACTCCAGTCTTCAATCGCCAGAAGACAAAAAACCAGAAGATCAATTGGAATGGATTGTGGATGAGGACGAGGACGACTTGGAGGAAGTTGATAATGACGGTTGGGTGGCTGAGCAGGAAGCTGATTGGGAACCTCCTATTCAAGCTGCCGAAGAACCGGCTGGCATCAATGACAAGAATATTCCCATGGACGAAGAAGACACGGTGGCTGACCTGGATCAACGCACGCGTATGCGTCGTTATGAGGCAGAGCTCCCCTTGCACCAGGGTCCATACATTACCAAATTTCCAATCCAGAGTGCCGGAGCAATTATTGATGATGAGTTCATGCAAGCCGAACATGGGTATCAGTCTTACCATGATAAACTTCATGGGAACAATTGGGCACCCTTCACGTCACGCATCGATTACAAGGTTGCTCGATGGGCGAAGCTGCGTGGCCAAGGCTCCACCGCGTTTTCAGATCTGCTTGACATTGAGGGTGTGAGTGTATCCCCTGAATTAATGGCTAAGTGTCGGCAGCACTGATGAGTTACTAAGTCTGTGAAAAGCTTGACCTTTCTTACCGGAATTCCTGCGAACTCAACAAGATCATTGACACCAAAATTCCAGCTCATCGTCCTCATTTTCAGCGACAGGAAATCTTGATGGCAGGAGAGGCATTTGATGTCTATTTTTGGGACATCATTGAGTGTGTGAAGGCGTTGTTTGGGGACCCTGAACTCACTCCTTACCTCGTGTTTGCACCCGAACGACACTATTCAGATGAGGACAAGACTCAGCGCCTCTACCATGAGATGCATACAGGGCAGTGGTGGTGGCACACTCAGGTGAGCGGTTGTCATATAATGTGAAGATCAGCAGGCTAATGGGCCGAAATGCATTTGAAAGAAACAACTGGAGAAAGTTAAACCAGGCACAACAATCATTCCTGTTCTGCTCTCGTCTGACAAACCCAGGTCACCATGTTTCGAAACAAGGCCGTGTACCTGATTTACATGACTATCAGAAACCTACCCAAGGAAATTTGGCAGCGACCGTCTCACAATGCGCAGATACTTGTTGGTTATCTTCCAACAACCAAGCTCGAACACATCACCAACAAAGCTGCAAGGAGACGGTGTCTTGCAAACTTGTTCCATGCGTGCATGTGTCATATTGTTGTGCCACTTGTTGACCCAAGGAAGTATGGGATGCCGATAGCTAGTGGTGATGGGACCGTTCGTCGTGGTCATCCTCTCATTGCATGTTATATCAGAGATTACCCAGAGCAACTCTTGGTGACTGGAATGAAGACTGGAGAGTGTCCGAAATGTGACATACCTTCGACTGAGCTCGGTAGCAAAGACCTTCCGTTTGAGCTGCAGGATTTGGATGAAATCTTGGACGCACTGGCATTAGCTGATGAAGATCCGACTCAGTTTGCGAAGGCTTGTCGTGATGCTGGTAAGTGTCTTCAAGTTCTATCGCACTCGTCGTGTTACTGACCGGTAACATATCACTGACAGGCATCAAACCTCTATACCATCCGTTCTGGGAGGAAACTGCTGCACTGTAATATATATAACGCGATTACACCAGATGTTCTCCATCAGTTATATCAAGGGCTGGTGAAGCACATGATCTCTTGGATTAAATCTGCTTGTGGGGAGGCGGAAATTGATGTGCAGTGCAAGCGTTTGCCTCCAAACCACAACATCCAGCTATTCATGAAAGGCATTTCGGTTCTGTCACAAGTCAGTGGAACGGAACACCAGCAAATATGTTGATTTCTGCTCGGTATCATCATTGACATACATCTGCCTGATGGTGCATCGCTGGTTAAACTTATTTGTGCAGTACGGGGCATCCTTGACTTTTTGTATCTCACACAGTACCCATGTCACTCTGATTTAACATTGATGCTACTCAGCGACGCACTCAATCAATTTCACGATAACAAAACTATCTTTGTGGACCTGGGCATCCGTTCGTCATTCAACCTCCCCAAGCTTCATTCATTCCGACACTACCTCACAATGATTCGCATGTTCGGAACCATGGATAATTACAACACAGAATATACTGAACACCTTCACATTGACCTAGCAAAGGATGCGTACCGTGCAACAAATCACAAGGATGAATACATGCAAATGACGCTGTGGCTTGAGCGACGAGAGAAAATGTTGTGGCATGCCAAGTTTATTGAATGGCGACTGCATGTGGGACCTTCCGCATCATCAGATCATGTCCCTCGCCCCCTAGCCCACTCCGACCTCGTATATCTCCAACAACCCAAGCTAGCGAAGCACCCGTCTGTTAAACAGGTGACATTTGCATCGCTGGCTGATCATTATGGTGCAGTCCATTTTCAAGCAGCTGTGGCACGTTTCATCGTGCAAGTGACGCAGACTGATTTGACTGCGAGGCAGTCAGAAGACGCTGCCTGCGATGTCATTCTCCCGTTCCAGTCCATTGCAGTATTCCACAAGGTCTGCTATGGTACTGTTGATGATGATGGCATGGTAAACCATCTCACTGTGGATGCAATACATGCACGACCGGCGTGACGCGATGGCCATAATAGGAGAGTGCCAGCAAGGTTTGATACTGCACTCATAAATATGGGGAATGGCAGCAAGTTGGGCATTGAAGGTGAGTGAAGATGTTTATGTATGCATGCGGAGACACTCAGGCTGATGAACAACTGATAGGATATTGTGTTGCACAAGTTCGTGTGATCTTTTCATTGTCAGCCAATGTCAGGCGTGCTCTATTTCACAATGTCAAGGTACCTGATCACCTGGCGTATGTCGAATGGTTCACAGCCTTCTCTGCCACCCCAGATATCAATCACAGCATGTATAGGGTTTCGTGTTCGCTTCAGGATGGTGACAGGCAAGCAAGCATTGTTCCTGTTGACAATATTCGACGCTTGGTCCACTTAATACCAAAGTTCGGTGCAGTGACTCCACGTGACTGGAGTACGAGCAATGTATTGGATCAGTGTAGTACATTCTTTGTGAACGAGTTTACTGACCGAGACGCGTATGTAACTATATTTTAGTTAAATAGAAGTCTACCGTGCAGCTTCAAAGCTTCAATGATGAGTGTGTCGTTTGAGTTCTGCGTGAGCCTGCATCAGATCGAGTGAGATGATGACAAATAGTTGACACTGGCACGTCATGGTCACGAAAATTTCTCAACATCTCTTGGATTGTCGTCTCATTCTTCTTCTGTGTCCCCTGTGCATTATATTTATGGTGCGAAGGTTTTATATGGTATGGTAACTTTAACTAACAGTGTTACAGGACTCTGTGGCGGAGAAGGAGAATTGGATTCCTGAAAAGCAGTGGGTGGGTGTTTTTTATGGTAACATGATGGCTTCTCTTATCTGATCATAATCTATAGTCCACGCTCACCTTGCCAGGACTCTCCAGATGGGAACTCGCCCATCAAAAACTCGCCTATCAAAAGGTAAGTTGTTAGTGATATCATTGTATGAGCAGGTTCTCACAAAGGTGCCAGGACTAAAAAACTGTTGACGTGCAGATTTCCGATCCCGGAATTTGGGATTTTTCCTACCCTGGTCGCAGAAATACCTTAAACTCAAATACCTCATACTCCCATGCCACCCTACCGTCAGACTCCAGCCCCTCTAACAGTCTCTCAGAATTACATGTATAGACTTGTCACAGATCGTTGGGATGCTGAAATGAAACAGTGTGAGGAGGTGAGAAAGGCGCATCTATTGGAAGTTCAACTGGCTGCTCATGGTATACATAAATTAGTATAATTGTATGCTTGTATCTTGTGGCGAGAAAATTCTCTAACATCCGTCTGAATTCTTTTTGGGAGTGTGCACATTTGCTGACATTGTCAAATATTGGACCTTTTATTCGTGCATTTGAGAAAACACCAACTGATTTTCTAGGTTTGACCGGATTTTCTCGAATTGTCACTAATATCACAAAGAGGTTTTTCCTGATGTGCACAGCCACACTGACATGTAGTCTTAGACTCGCAGAGTATACCGAATCATAAGACGGAATGAGCTCTATCATTGTTCTATTTAGACTGCCTTTGGATTACATCAGGAAAACCCTCCTAAACAAAATATATGTTTTTAGAACTAATGCTGCATTTTTATGTCTAATTGGTCTCACTTAGCCTCGCGGTAGCGCAGGCTGCGAGGATTAGCCAGCAAGAGGGTCCTTCGTGCGAGGGCAGCAAAGGACCCTATAAAAAATTGACCAAAGTAAATAAGTACAAAGCAGCAACCAACGGGAGGCTCAGGAATATGAGAAAAGATGAGACTCAAAAACTCAGATGTGCAGAATTTGTGCATGGAGAGTGCTATAATGTGTTACTTTTGGGTGGGAGGGAGGGAGGGGATTAAGTAGTTGAGAAGTGACTGTGAAAGTAGGTGTAGTTGGGTAGATAAGTAAAAAATAAAATTGAGTGAAAACAATGGGAAACACGCACATAGAATGAAGTAAGACTCAAACAAATTTTAAGAGATGGGCGCAAACAGGATCACGACCATTGTGTGCAGACTGACCATTGAAAATAAGACTGTGAAGAAGAGTAGGATTCTTCTGGATATATACCCTGAAAGGACTCTGAGGACCACCGTCCGATGGCCTGAATATGTGACGCTGGTACTCCACTGGCTGCTAGTGAAGTAGCTCCTCCAGCTCTCATCGAATGTCCCGCAATTGTCGAAGGAAAGAATTGACACAACTTCTGAATAAACCAGCTGCGGGTTGGTACCAAACCATCCGCACGAAGCCATAGAGTCAAATGGAAAGGAAAGGATGAGTCACGCGACCTCAAATACTCCTTGAACACTTGGTGAGGATCCGGCAAGGATTCAGTGTGACGAACAACAACTGTTGCTCCTTCAAATTGAACGTTGGTTTTATGGGACGGGAGGATGAAGGAATGATGCTCATTTTCAAGCACAACCGAAGTGCATTGCATCAATTTTCTTTGACTTTTTAATTTTCTGTTGTTGGGCCATACTAACTCCCCAAGACGAAGGAGGGCATAAAATCCATCAAATAGTTGCACAAGGAATAATTTGTCATCATGAGAAAGGGGATGAGGGAGCTGATTGTGAACTAGCTGTAGGTCCGCTCGCGTCAATGGAAGTTTCTGTTTAACTGGTACGCTATAACGTCGTTTTGCACCTTTTAAGGTGCGTGAAATCAGATGCGAGTGATGAACCGACCGAATTGTCGGATAGAACTCCTCAAGTTGACTACAAATTCCCGACAGGTAGTTATCGACCGAGCGCGGGCTGATATGGGTGGACATGTAAGAAACAAAGTATGAGAGTGTGTCTGGTGTAGGTTCAACTGAAAAATGATGAAGGTCACAAAAAGTGAGGTAGGATTTTAGTGCAGAGGAGTATGTGCGATTGGTGGATCGTTCGAGAGTCATTCCGAGATTAATTGAATGCTCGTGATTGAGACGTTCGAGAGACCAGGCTTCCCTAATGGGTTGCCTGGTATTGCGTGAAAGTGGGATCATTTTCTTCCTGCCCCCAGCGCATTCCAAGGGGGCTCAAAAGGGAGGATTCGAAGGTGAGGATTACACTTCAGGGCCTCCTGGCCCTTGTTACGTGAAAGGTGATCCGCAATGACATTATGCTCTCCTGAAATGTGAAAAACGCGAAAGTCGATCGAAGCAGCTATAACAATGTCAACTGAGACAAGGAGGAGTGAATTGAATCCCAGTGAAGCCTTTAATGAGTTGAACATTGCGACCGAATCCAAGCTGTCTGTAAAGACAGCTAATCTCCCTCCTGATGATAAGCGAGAAGCCGCATCTTGAATAGCCAAACAGATACAGAGCGCTTCAAAGAAATATATGTCATGGACAGGGGCCTGTGATGGGAGAGAGGACTGGAATCCTAGGTTCAAGGATGGGTACAAGAAACCCATCCCAGTTCCTGAGGCGTCACAATATACTTTGAGTGCCTGGTCTGTGATCTGCGAGAAATCCCAAGAGATAGACTTGAGGAGATACACTCCGTCCGACCGTTGGAGGTGATCTGCTACCCAAAGTACCTCCTTAACCACATCTCTGTTTAACCAGATGAGCCCCTGTGAATTGACTTTTCCTTTCATCTTCTTGTATAGAGCTGATAGTCCTGGACGCAGGAGAGGACAGATGTTAAGGGCCCAATTGAGCGAACCTGCAATCTGCTCGCATTCCTGCAAAGTACGCCGACTCTTGTGTCGGGCGAAATCCTGCAACTCTGTGATGAGACGAGCTTTAGACTCCTCCCGTAAAGTGGTCCGCATTTGATTCAGATCAACGTCGAATCCTATGACAGAAAGTGGTGAACCGTGAATCTATTTTTGTTTGTCGTGTGGAATTCCTAGTTTGTCCCATAGAGTCAACAACTTGACCATATCTCTAGGCAACATCTTTTGATATTTGCGATAGAACACAAAGTCCTCTGCTTCTGCGTATGAGAAGGAATCGTCAATGTAAATATATGCGAGAATGAATCTGACAAAAACTGCAAGCCAAATAACCAAGGACATGAAGGCGTGGAATATTTGCTGAGATGCTCAACCTCCAAAAACATTTGCCTGATCAACTCTCCTTTGACCATTGAACGATACAATTTGTTTTATTTGCCACAACAGGTGCATCGGCATATGACGATATGCTTCTGAAATGTCGGCCTTCCAAATGGTAAGAGGGTGGTCAGGGTTAATCCCGCAATAACTGATGTAGCGCATTTCCTAGATCTTGAACATTGTCAAGAGTGACTCCAGCAATGTCCTCCTTGGCGATCATGGAGTTAAGTGAATATTTGCCAGCGCTGTGGTTGGTAACTAGCCGAAACTTTCCTCCCTCCTTAGGAACAGCATGGATGGGCATTGAATACATGCCGGGCAGGAGATTGCAACCAAAATCGCGTGAATACCTTCCAACTGCTTCCTCCTTTAAGATCTGATCGTGAAGGAAGGAGAACTCTTCCGGCAGTCTTCGGCACCAGTGTGCGAACTTCCAAAGTAGTAGGGTAAGTACTGTAATGAGTATCTGCCCAGGGCCAGAAACCCTCTCGTAATCCTGTACAGACCAACTGATAAAAGGGAGCATTGGGATGACCTGAAGAAATAAGTAAAGATTCAAACACGTTGACATGAATCAGAGTCGAAACTTGGAACAAATCAGGATGAGTGTCATATATCTGATCCGCCCGCCCTAATATCAATATCCGCTCCGCTTTCCGACCCCCTCCGCTTCATTCGTCCTCCGCTCTGCCCGATCATCATTTGTATCCGCTCCGCTCAACCGCTCAACTGGTCCCCTTCCATAACATCTCCATTCAACTGGACCTCTTTCCACTTTCAGACATATGCTTTCCTTTTCAGTACTTAGACCATTACTTCTGGATCACCGGTAATTCCTATTACTGCTCGATCACTGATCCGACGCGTACATATTGATATCCACCCCGACTTATGTCTTTCCTATGTAAAGTACTTACAAATGATATCCTTGGTACATAGCTTTACTACATAGTTATCCTGGTTACTGCCTCATACATAGAAGTATATAACATATCATGTACTTAGATATTTTTCCTTAGTCTTAATATTACTTGTCTTCTCGCAGTTACATCTTGTGAGAATTCTCAGTAGGACCTTGCCTCCTCTGGACACAAGTCTCAACTTGTCATCACCTCCGACCCTCCGATCCCCCTGCTCTGACTTAGAGCCATGCTCTAAGTCTTTCCCATATACTCCGCCCCTATCCAATATTCTCCCTTGTCCCTCTGCATCATCCTCCGCCTTCTCCGCCCCTGCCAAACATTCCCTCTGCTCCTATCCACCCTCTGCATCATCCCCTGTCTTCTCCGCCCCACTCCTAGTCAGCCCACTGCTAGCAGCTCTTACTTCCCGACCCTCAAAGCGGACCAAAGCGGACCATTCGTCCTATCGTCGGACAACGTCGGACCCGCTCCAAATTCAGGGCACATACTCAGCTAAGGGTGCAGCGCAAGAGCTGAAGCCAAGCCCCAACCCCTCTGCCTCTTGAGCTGGCATGGTACCTAACAATGAGTAGCAATAGTATGTAAAGCTTGTTCGTTTTTATACTCATCTTGAGGAGGACGAGGAAGCGGTTGCACGGTTTCGGTCCAAACCGCAGTATGACTGAAACAGGTGAGTTATCTCCCCACACCATCTGTCGCTTAAATCGCTGCCCCTTGGTGATCTGCTCATTGAGTTCCTTTTGCCAAAGGACACTCTGCGCGCCTATGTGCTCCTTTGCAATTCCCTCTATTGCAGATGTGATAGTAGAGACACTCTCCCGCCTCCTTTTCGCATTGACCCCTGTTCCATTTGTGGCAGGGTTCTCCGAACCTAGAATTTCCAGGCCGCTTAGGTCCTCCTTGGGACCTTCCTCCTCAATCCGATGTGCTTGACCCTGCCTTAGAGAGTTGGTTGACAGCAACCATCCCAAAGGATGAGAGATGACTGGCTCAGAGTCCCTCAAAATGCCCAAAGCTATTGAACTGCAAGAACTTTTGTTGCTCAATGAGAAGCCAAATGGCTCGATCAAAGTCAAGAACTCATTCATGCGCCAAGTAATGGATGGTCCTGAAGATGTCTGACATGAACTTGCGAAATTCCCTGAGCTCTCACTCCCTCCAGGGCATGATAAAAATAAGGGCTTCGCTCCAGAGTTCGGTCGTGATGCTCCAATCTCCGAAGGTTTTGACCTTTTGCATAGTTGTAGGTTGTGATAGTGTGAGCTCAAAGCCACTTCCGAGGACTTGCATTTGCTTGGAATCAATGGCGGTTGAGTAATGACCTGAGAAGACTTTGTCAAGGTCAAGTGCTCGTCCCTCAAAGAGAAGGAGCCATTGTGACGACAGTAAGCTTGGACATCCTGGAGTAGTTGTGACTTTGGTCCAAAAGAAACTTTGGATCTTCCGACCATTCCTCATAACATCCGAGGGTGAGTTTGAGACTTTCATCTGATGAACAGTGTTGGTACTTGTCAGGGTTGAGCCAGGGGAAGAAATTGGTTTGATCGCCTGGGATCTTTCTTCTTTTTCACCGCTGCACAAACTCCTCCCCTGATTCAGTGTCTGAATTGTCATCATCTTCTGTTTCTTTTGACCCATCAATTCCTCTTCTAATCTTCATTGTGACCTCAACCCCTTTTCAGAGATTTCATCCCCACACTCCAAACGTGTCTGTCCATGTTCTCGGGAACTCTCCCCGATTTCATCATCCTTGCGTGCGTCATTGAGGAGTTCAAGATAGTGATTGAATCCGGACTTAAAGGTTGAACTATCTTCATTGTCGGTCGCAACTGCGAGTTCACGGTGAATGCAAAGAATCGCTTCCCCTTTTGAAATTCTTTGTTTTCGGTAGTTAACAACGGTTTTGATACATTGTTCAACGACCTCTGAATTGAAGGATTCAGATCTGTCGGAATGATGGTCACTTCCTGGTGAGGAGTGACGAGTTTGCGATGATTCTTCAGCATTATCAATCATTGATGAGAAATTGTATTTTGATGATATGTTTAGTAGTCGAAAAGTTAAGCACTGACACGACGACGAGCAGATGAGAAGAGCCGCTAACTAAAGACTGAGACCAGCAACGTACCTGACACAACGACAAGCAGATGAGAAGGGGTGCTGCCTCCTAATTGCTCAGTCATGTCAGGTAGAGGTTGAGATCCTTGAGATCACTCGGCATGATCGACAAGCCGAGAGTGCTGAGAGTGCGTGCCACAAAGGCAAAGGGAAACTGGCCCTAAGGTAGGCCCACACATGAAAAGCTTAGTCATAAGTATCAACCAATTAGACTTGTGTAAAAAAGATTAAACTCGACTAAATTTTCCAAATTCAAGTTTTAGCAAGCTTAGATCATTTTTTTTACCCCCTGATAAAAACACAATGATTAGCAACAATTTGAAGTTATTCAAACACATTATTTGTATTCTTTGTAAGTCCTCATGCCTCGGACTTACAAAGAATGAGGTCTACGTGACGACACAGCTTTTCGAGTTCTCTCACTTCTTGCTTCGTACTACCACATAGTACTTGCAAATCCTCTACTGATCGACTACACTCTCATTTGGTCACATTCATTCTTTACAAGAATCTTTCTATCTTAGTTTTTTATCATTATGCCGAGAATTCGCAATGATCCCAACTTCAACATCTGTCTGGACTACACAACAGACTACTTCGCAAACACGCGAACGCAACTCATAAATGAGGACACGACTGAAGCTCAAGCAATTCAATTGCTTAAGAATATCTGGGAACTGAACAATAATGCGGATAAGGCTCTATGGCAGCAGCAACTAGACGACGACAATGAACAACAAGAGCAGCGTCAACGAGCTCAGGAAGAGGAGCAAGAACGGTTGGATCGAGGACGAGCGGAGGAAGAAGAAGCTACCCATAAAGAAGAGAGGAAGAAAAACAAGCATAAGTATACTCCAATACTGGCAACCAGCATCCCGGATGATCCTGCAGTAACGCCATGCTCATATGCACTCCAAAAACTGGACAAGGGAGAGTATGTAGAAATATGGTACTTCACTAACAACGGCCTAGACGAGGCGGACGTTAAGAAGACTGTGGATGATGATGCCATGATTCTGTCAACCCTAGCAGATGGCTCTACAGCCTGGGTATCATCGGCTTCGACGCGCAATGCTAGGGCCGTCGTTAATGATGAGAACTTACCATTCGAGGATTTCTGCCAAGCCTGCCCTCGCATCCTCATAGCTATGGAAGAAGCGGACTGGCCCGAAGACAGAGTTAGGATGATGGCTCTTTTCTGGAGGAACATACAGATCCACAAGTTTCGCTCAATGAGAGACCCAATAGCACAGCAAGCCCTGCTAACCTACCAAGCTGAGCAATGCAAATGATGGCACATAGCCACAAAGTCGTCGACCGGACCGTACAACATCTCACTCGTCAACGAAGTAGTATTGAAGGCTATGAGAGATAAAGTATACTGGGAGGAGCGCAATAAGAGAGATAATGTGCGAGATTTCGAGGTCAGTTTAAAATCTACTCTACGCACAGACGCCAGCTAAAAAAGGAACTCGCCTACCCTTTTTTTACTCACAAACGACTTTGTCGTCTTGCCATGCACACATTGCTACATGCCTCATGCCACATGCTTCATGCCTCATGCCACATGCCACACTATCTGCTACAGTCTGACCAATGCACTAATCATCCATCGAGACCACGGGACTTGAGAGAATCGCGCAAGCGGTCAGCTTCCCCTGAGCACACAAGCCAGGGGAAGAGACCTAGGCAGGATTTTCGGACGAGCGCAAGCAGAGGCGTCCTCTCTGCTTGTGCCGTGTGTCTCGGACGAAACCCGCACAGAATCATCAAATGCAAAGCATCCAAGACGTGGGACAACGCGTTCAATACAATCTGCTTGCGCATCAGGAGAGTACTCACCATGTGAGATGGGAAACCCGTATGCAGTGATTGGCAGCGCAGTCAACAGTTGTGTTGAAGTCACTCACAACCAACGACACTTCTGTTCGGGGTGTGGCAGCTCGACTCACGGAGCCCAAACATGCCCTCGAGCTCAGAGAGCTTAAGGCTCTTACCCCGTACAATCCGGATGCATGGGAGTCGGCACTCACTGCATCAGGCCTCATCGACAAATACCCCCTCATACCTGAAGGACTTCGCTGAGGCTTCATCCTTGATATCCCTAGAATTAGTATCACCCAGACGCCACCTAACAAAGAATCCATTATTACATATAATCAAGAATTTCAATCCATTATACAATCTGAACTTAATAAAGGGAGATATATCGGACCGCTTAAAGCCAAGGAGGTCGAAAGCCTCATCAGACCCTTCCAAACCTCGCCATTCTCTATTATACCCAAACCAGGGCGACCTGGACATTATCACGTCATTCAGAATTACTCATTCCCTCATCTCACTTCACCGAAGTTCCCTAATGCATTAATCAACTCTCATATTAATCCAGACAATTTTCCCAGTACCTGGGGAACCTTTCACGTCGTTGCTCTTACCATCAGCCGATTACCGCCAGGATCGCAGATCGCTATTAGGGATGTGGCGGAAGCATACCGCACAATCCCCATCCACCCATCCCAATGGCCGGGATCGGTTGTACGCATCTCAGATGACGAGTTCTGCATTGACACATCCATGTGTTTTGGATTACGGCCCTCGGCAGGAGCATACGGGAACGTGGTGGATGCAGGACTCGATTTGTTTCGTTCTCGAGGCATTGGACCTGCTTCGAGATGGGTCGACAACCATCTTTTTATCCGAATACTTAAGGAGTTCATTGAATCATACAATGAGCAAAGGCGACAATGGCATGAGGACATCCTCAAGAGAGGAACGCACCAGGAAGGGGGGAGAACATGGTTCGGAGGCTATGTCTTCGATGATGGGACTTTGGAGGAGTTTGATGAGGACTGTCGATTCCCAGTGGTCGACTTATCAAGCGCATCACCGAGATCACCCGAAGATGCTAAATTTTCATTTAACCTATCAGACATCGACAAAGCTTCTAACGAGTTCAATATCCCATGGGAAGTTCTCAAAGACAAACAGTTTGCATATGTTAATCCGTACATCGGTATTATGTGGGATCTGGCTCGAGACAGAGTATTTCTGGATGAAGGGAAGAAACAAAAGTATCTGCAGGCCATTGAGACATGGGAAGATCGACTCACGCACATGCTTAATGACGTTCAACAGCTGTATGGAAAGTTATTACACACTACGCTCGTCATCCCAAGGGGATGGGCATACCTTACATCTTTGGAAGCTATGCTGCATCTTGCCTTTGAACAACTGTTTCTCCCATGGCGCCCCATCAAAAACCTTGCTGCGGATCTTAACTGGTGGAAGAAAATACTTCAGAGTCCTTTCGTCGGACGCCCTATCCCAAAACCTCTCACCCTGCATGACCCAAAGGCATATTCAGATGCTAGTTCCAGATTCGGAATTGCTATCACTATCGGCAACAAATGGAGGGCATGGCGTCTCCGGAAGGGATGGCAAACCCTTCAAGGAACCAAGGATATCGGCTGGGCGGAGGCAGTGGGATTTGAGTTCCTTGTTCAATATCTTATCAATATGGGAGGATCGGAACAGAACTTCAGGGTGTACAGAGACAACCAAGGAATCATTGAGGGTTGGAGAAATGGATGCAGCAGAAACAGCACAGTCAACTCGATATTTTGACGGATCTTCTCTAATATCCACAATTCCGCAGTGCCTTACTCTTTCCACCCCGCATACATCGCAAGCAAAGCGAATCCAGCCGACAACCCATCACGAGGGATCTATAGTAGTACAGAGCTCTTGCTGCCAACCCTCCTGATCCCCATCGAATTACAACACTTCATCATTGACCCGTTCATCATCTCAACAAACCCAGCAGAATATAGCACAGACAGGGCAGTTTCCGTCATCAATGAGAGCGCTTCTTTCAACAATTCCGATAGCGTCAATAGAAGCGGCACCGAGGTTAACGCAGACTCACTCTATCACATCAGACAACAGCAGCAATGCTATCACCAATAGAAACTGTTTCAACGCTGAATCTACCCTCGGAGCTAGTAGCGAAACCACAACCTTATAGAACAGGTTTAACACCTGTCCCATCGCAACTACGACCGCACTGTCTAGTGTGGGAAAGGTTGAGACTTTGGTTTCCCTCAGAGACCAGGATAGCGAGAGATCGAGATGGAAGGTTTCTAGCGATTACTGATGAAGATCTGGAGAGAGTATTATCAGTGATGAATTTATCATGGGCACCCAGTACGAGGGAATGCTATGGGGCAGGCCTCTTGGTATTTCATGTCTTCTGTGACGAACAAACCGTCCCGGAAGAACAACGCTGTCCAGTGGATACGCGGACCGTGTTGAATTTCGTTTCAAGCTGCGCAGGATCGTATTCTGGAAAAACCTTAGCAAACTATGTCTATGCAGTAAAAGCATGGCATACCCTACACGGACAGCCATGGAATGTTCATCAAGAGGAATTGAAAGTGGTCTTGGATGGAGCCGCAGAACTCACCCCAGATTCATCGAAGCGCACCAAATGCGAACTGTTCACTCCGAAGTTCATTCTTGAAATTCGTTCATGACTCGATTTATCAGCCCCGCTAGATGCCACGGTATACACCTGCCTCACAAGTTCCTTCTATGCGCTTTGCCACCTAGGAGAACTCACCGTTAAAGCTATGAAAGCTTTCGATCCAAAGAAACACGTTAAACGTTCGGATGTCACAATAGATGTAGAGGATAGACATGGACTTCGGGTAACCAAGATCTTCCTACCATATACCAAAACTTCTGCGATTGGCGAAGGAGTATACTGGGCGCGTCAAGAGAACCACACGGACCCAAAAACTGCACTACTTAACCACTTCGCGATCAATGATCCACCTCCTAACAGTCATTTATTCGCCTGGAAACACTCCAAAGGCCTGAGACCCTTGACCAGGACGGAATTCTGGAAACAGATTAGCAGCATAGTAAAGAGAGCAGGATTAGGTGACCTGAAAGGACACGGTCTACGCATAGGAGGAACCCTCGAATATCTGCTGCGCGGAATTCCATTCGATGTAGTAAAATCGATGGGATGATGGTCAAGCGAAGCCTTTACGCTTTATCTGCGCAAACACGTGCTGATATTAGCGCCATACTTACAAGAGTCATCGGCGCTACACCCCTTCATCCGTTACACCATGCCCGCTGCACATTAGAAAGGTAAGCCTATTCACTATGCCCTTCTCCTTCAAATATGGGAGTCCATGCTGCACCTGACGCATCACAGGGCTCCTGTTCTATCGTTTGGGAATCACGGCTAATCATGGACTTTCTCTGCAGGATCGAAACGATGTTTTGGGTCGCAAACCCTTCGGGTTTGAGCCCAAATAGCCTCACATTACCTTTGATACTATTTGTACCGAATCAGATGTCATTCCCGACCAATAGAATCTGATTTCTTGCTGGCTAACACGAAAAGTGTACAGTTACACATAGACATACATTGTAGATTTAATTTGTTTGATCTTAGACGAGGGTTCCAACTGAATCAGGCAGCATTACAAGAACAAAATTAGATTTTGATTAAAAATGGGTATATCGGCAGTAGGCTAATTTAAATAACAGTGTGTGCTATGACCAACTGGGAGACTATGTATCAGCTTCACAATTCCATATTGTACACCATGAAAATGAGCAGGGGATGATTCAGTCTTCTTCCATATTGTTGAGGTCAAGTAACTCAAATGCTTCCAGCTCAGCAGCATGGCCACTGGCAGCGGCGCCACTGTATCGCAACCTCCTGCAAGCAGAGTGAGCATTGAGGCAATACTACCTAAGTGGAACTCACTGTGCAGCCTCATAGATGTCGGCCATCATATGGTGGAATTTCACAGGTGCGTCCTTCTTCAGTTTTTCCAGGAACCTGACATGGTAGTTGTATGTCTCGCTGAATAAATTTCCTGTAAAGTTGAATTTGGATGGTGAACCTTGCGACTTCCACAGAAGGGCTGCGTACACCTTTGCAACAAGTTAAACGGCACATCCGTACAATGACAACAAGCACATTACCGCAGTTGTGACCAATGCCAGCAAAGGGATAGGGATTTCAAGGCGCTGTCCTTTGTTGTTGGCGATTTCAACAAAGCATTCCACAAATTTGATGGCAACGGACCTTGAGCTACATATGAAAGAGCTGCTGATATATTAAGAATATAAAGAGTTCACCCTGGTAGGGCTTCTTTCCAATGGGCGAAGCCTCGTTATTGATCTGTATAATTTCAACAATGTCAGTAGTACAGGCAAGGGGAGAGATCTCACATCAAACTTCAAGGCATATATATATGTAAGCTTCTCCAATAGCCTTCTCGCTGCAGCTTTCCCAGTGTCGGTGTGTCCAAGGCGAAAGTAACCATTGGCATGTGCACATGCGTCTTCCTTCAGCTCACAGTGCAATATTGGAACATGAGCATCCACCTCGCATATAGTTAGAGACTGATCTGAAAAGGTGCGAGTTGAACTCACTAAGCTACCAAGTTGTGACACATACCGTTCGTCCGATTGAAGACGTTCTTTGATTGCATGCACACCACATTTTTCAGCAACAACTATCAATGCTTGCAGCGCGACTTGGTTCTTGTCAACCAGTTCAGGATAGCCGTTGGCGAAAAAAAGATGGCACTTGACTTCCATGATTGCAGACTGAAGAACTTTGCGAGTCTCTAAGTTCTGATCAAGTAACTTCACCTTTCTGCCTTCTGTTCGAACGAGAGAGGCGATACTCCAAGTCTTCGATGATTGAGTGTCAGAGGTAAGTTTTGGTGCAGTGCCTTCGTTGTCAGAATGAAATTCTGACGAGTCGCCACCAGTTGAGGGATCTTCAATGGACTCCGAAACTGCGTCTTCGACATCCAGATTGGCCCAAGTTGGAGTCTCAGCCACTTGTTTGTGATCTCGGGCAAACTCCGATTTTGAAGTGCCACGTGATTTCGATGCTCCCTGCTGCTTGTTGGTGACGAGTGACGTGACCTTCAAATTTTTAAATGTGAGTTCACAAGCATATGATATAGCAAAGCTGACCTCATCAAAAAGCAGCATCGCAGCCAAATCTTCATTCTCGCTGCCAGTGGCACTCTTGTTACCATCTGAATCAGTTAAGCTGTCCCAACTCGGTTTGTCCCTGGGCCAAGCATCATCAGAGTCAGCACCACTCTGCTCATCATCATCATCTTCTTCAGGCAATGCCACATCTTGCATAGCATATGTTTGGCAGAGTTTGGCTGGTTGTCGATAACGTGCTGCACACCCATCATGTGAGACTTCCTTTTTTGTCATGGCGGCCTAGTAGGCTGACCTTGCTTATTAACCATCAGTGCAGCTTCCTGCAAGATACCATCATTAGACGAGTTGCTATCTGTATCCACCAAGTTGTGCTGATGCTCTGCCAGTGCCCAAGTTTTTTCTATGTAAGTACCATAACCGAGTTTTAAGTGTATTGATGCACTCAGTGTTGACGGCTTTGTTGATGCAGTCCTGTTTGACTTGGAGCTGGAGTTCTGACTTGGAGTAGGTGTTGGTGACGCGACAGTTCTCTTTTTTTGGGCAGGACAGTCTTGGCCTGATGTTGCTGTTGCATTCTTGCATCTTGGTTTGTCTTGATTCCAAACTGAATCTCAGGTCAGTTTGATTTTTTGATGGTGTTTTTGGTCGCTCACCTGCATTTTCGATAGCCTTTTTCTTGGCGCCACGCACTTCTGTCTCAAGCCTCACAGTCGGTCACTTGGCGAGTTGCTTATACTCACTTACCTTGATCCTGCTGAGGTATAGTCATTTTTTATTATCACTTTGTTTGTTGAGACTTAGAATGTGTAGGACTCGGATGAATAAAGGAGCGTCGAGGGATGTCATATATCGGATCCGAGCACCTCCAATACCACCTGTGAACATCCCCACCCCTGATCTGACCCCCTGTTTCCCCATCCACTCCATCCCTCCTTCCCCAACAATGCATGAAGTGCATCTCAGTAGGATTAGCCCTGCTACCTCCTGTTAAGGTCGTGCTCAAGGGAGAGGTTGCTCAAAGGGCTTCAGCTTCAGCTCATGCACTGCACTCCTTACCCGAGTACGTGCCCTTTAATTTCCGGGGGACAGAGGGGAAGTCCAACGGAAGTCCGAGGAGTTCCAGAGGACTAGTGTCGGTGGAGTTTGGCGGAACTCTGGAAGGCTTATGTGGGGATGGAGTAAGGCTACTACGGAAGTTTGGAGTAGAAATAGAACAGAGGTTAGACTACCCTAAGGTAGACCTGGAGAGTTAGTCCTAAGGTTTAACCCCTAAGACTTGGAGGTGGACAAGAGATGAGACTCAAGTCCAGAGATTGCAGGAATGAGCAGAACTAAGATGATATTTGAACTGAGGAGTTCCGGAGTATTACAGGGGTTTATATACTGTAGGTTCCATGTAAGTAAATCAGTCAGCAAAGGTAAGGGCTATGTACGAAGCATGTGGAAAGTCTATTACTAAGTGTAACAGATCAAAGCAGTGAAGTCAGAAATGAAGTAGGAATGGACGGATCAGTAAGCATAGCGGAATAGGACATAACCAATAACCGGAGCAATAGCTAATCTAAAAGAAGTTAGGGGTGAGTGCAGAGATGAAGGTGGAGCGCTGGGCGGAATAGTAAGATGGAGGACTGGAGTTCAATGAAGTAGATCTGGAATTCTGGATCCAGAGGTACAGGATATGACACCTCCGCCCGACCCCGTTCTGCTTTTCCGACACTACCCCTATGTCCTCCGACCCCATACCCCTTCCATCTGACCCTATCTGGGGTTCCGCTCCTCCGCCCTATCGGTCCGCCCAATGCTATTCCTACTCCCTCCACTTTTCCGACCCACGCGGATCCTTCAGTTCCGCTTGTATTCCCCCACCCGACTATTAGTCCGTCCGACCGCCTCACCAGTCCACTCCTAGACTAGGAACCACTCAACTGGTCCTATCCCCATTTAGTATCATAGTTCCGCTTTTCGGATCACCGGTAATCCCTATACCCTAGCGATTCTGATCCGTCACGTACATACTGTTCCCCAAGCCTTATTCTGTATGTCTCAGTCATCCTATTGTAATCCTGTACACTCAGCACATAGCCTTCTGCTATGCTCTGCTCATCACTTAGAGTATATAAACATATGTACACTTGTCTGTAGATACTCAGTCTGAATATTACCTTTTCTAAGCCCTGCTCCTCTGTTCTTTGACTTGGGCCTGATCCTAGTCAACTCCTGTTAAGCCGGCCTAGGGGATTGACTCCCTAGGTCGGCCATCCTCCAATCCCCCGTTCCCCCGTTCCCCCGTTCCCCCGTTCCCCCGTTCCCCCGTTCCCCCGTTCCCCCCGTTCCCCCGTTCCCCCGTTCCCCCGTTCCCCCCGTTCCCCCGTTCCCCCGTTCCCCCGTTCCCCCGTTCCCCCGTTCCCCGTTCCCCCGTTCCCCCGTTCCCCCGTTCCCCCGTTCCCCCGTTCCCCCGTTCCCCCGTTCCCCCATTCCCCCATTCCCCCGTTCCTCCGCTCCTCCGACTTCCCGTGCGTCAGAACTAGACCCCGCACTCTTGCATCCATCCCCTCCATTCCGCTCTGCTTCGGATTTCATCCAAGCAGTTCCTTCCGCTCCGCTTCTACTGTTGGTTCCGACCGCAGTAGTCTCCCACCTCCCTCCTGTCGGGCAGAAACAACCCCCGCCCGACTTTCCTGCGCTCACCTAGTAGTCCGTTGGTCCTCCTTCAGAGGACCCCTGTTCCGACATCCTGTCAGAACTCCTAGAACTCGTGTCAGACTACACCCCGAAATTAGGGGCACATACTTGGGTAAGGGGCGCAGCGTACAAGCTGAAGCCAAGCCTCTCAGACTCCGCTTTACCCCTGAGCACAGTCTTAACAAGGGACCCGGGTGGATTTTTTTTAAAACGAGTGTGAGTGACGGTCAAACAGAAGGGAATGGGACGGAAAAGTTTACTAATGCAATGTAACAGGGCAATTATGTAGCAGGTGAAGGGCGCTAAACTGTAGTTTCGGCAGCACAGTCTGTCCCTGACTTTCGGGACACTGCCCCATCAGCATTGTCATCCCCAGGTATCCCAAATAACGAGCCTGTATGGGTACCACCACCATCAACTTTGCTGGCTACAGTGCTAATATCTGCTAGGTTGATCGGGCCACCAATGATGGCAATTGCACCATCATCCTGTGGGTTAGCGCTTGAGCTTAGTATTTGTTCAGGCCATTACTTACCACACCCTCAGTTCACTCATTACATCCCTCACTTGCATCATCATTACATCCCTCACTCACATCGTTTCAGCTTCGTCATCCCTCCTGTCATCCCTTCATCCCCCACGACCCTTCAGTTACTAGACGAGGCACTAGACCTTTTTCATGAAAACAAGCTCATTTTCGTCGACCTTGGCATTCGAAACAATTTTAACCTACCAAAGTTGCATGCTGCTTGTCACTATCCTCTGATGATCATGCTGTTCGGCTCAACTGATAATTATAACACGGAGTACACGGAACGGCTCCATATCGATTTGGCGAAAGATGCCTACCGCGCTACGAATCACAAGGATGAGATGACATCCATTTTCCGTTCCACTGACTGCCTGTCTTTCATAAGGTCAAGTGGTGCTCGGTCGATGCCCGCGGCCATGGCGACGCACATGTTACTTTGGACTTGCATATGTCGAGTGGTTCACACCATTTCTGCCAGCTCCAGACCGCAATAGCGGACTATATAAACTCTCGCGATCACTGCGTGGTGGTGAGACCATGGCTAGTATTGTGTCAGTTGCTGATATTGAGCGCAGTGTTCATCTTATACTGAGGTTTGGTGTTATGGCCCCATGAGAGTGGATGAGTGATACAGTACTTGAGGACTGTGACACCTTCTGGTTGAACTCGTACATAGATAGATATACCTTTTCAATGTTTAGATAATTCTCGATAACTCTTGCTATGTGAGAAAAAATCTTGTTTAACATTATCATCTTTAGCAACTTTCTTCATAAACAGCTGTGATTGTGCTAATGTTACGATTTTATGTGAATTCTGCCTAATTTGCCTTGGGAGGGTTTTCCTGATGTAACTGACATGTATATATACGACTGAATGGTTTACTGTGATTTTCTGTCTCAGTTATGTTTTACTTGGTTTTACTCTAGAATCTATTCTAACATTCCATTCGGCCAGACTAGAATCATGTCAAGCACCTCACTGTGTTATCGTCGATGCTCTTCTATTCGGTCTTATCCTTTCAATAATCACATCACATCACCCTCCATCAATGCCGCAAAACACCTCCTTCTCTGTCTTGTGTCCAAACACAATCCTGTCCGACTTCCATACAGCATCATTTGACAGCCCAAGTACGTACTGGCTCATCTTCAGTATGCCAGCACACGACCGATCAGATTGGTACCTAGTAGCCAGCTGGCCCATCAGCTCTAGACGTTTACTCTGAGCAACTGCAATTGCATGTAGAAGGCTGGCATGTCTGAAATTAGATTCCATTAGCATCAATACAGGAACCAGGATGTACTTCTCAGCAAGCGTCAGCACAGTTCTCTCTTCACTCACACTCTGTTAAGGTCATGCTCAAGGGAGAGGTTGCTCAAAGGGCTTCAGCTTCAGCTCATGCACTGCGCCCCTTACCCAAGTACGTGCCCTTTAATTTCCAGGGGACAGAGGGGAAGTCCAACAGGAAGTCCGGGGAGTTCCGGAGGACTTAGTATCGGTGGAGTTCGGCGGAACTCCAGAAGGTTTATGCAGGGATGAAGTAAGGCTACTACAGAAGTCCGGAGTAGAAACTGAACAGAGGTTAGACTACCCTAAGGTAGAGCCAGAGAAGTAGTCCTAAGGTTTAACCCCTAAGACTCGGAGGTGGACAAGAGATGAGGCTCAAGTCTGGAGATTGCAGGAATGAGCAGAACTAAGATGATATTTGAACTGAGGAGTTCCGGAGTATTACAGGGGCTTATATACTGTAGGTATCATGTAAGTAAATCAGTCAGCAAAGGTAAGGGCTATGTACGAAGCATGTGGAAAGTCTATTACTAAGTGTAACAGATCAAAGCAGTGAAGTTGGAAATGAAGTAAGAACTGGATGGATCAGTAAGCATAGCGGAATAGGACATAACCGGTAGCCAGAGCAATAGCTAATCTAAAAGGAGTTAGGGGTGAGTGTGGAGATGAAGGCGGCGCCAGGGCGGAATAGTAAGATGGAGAACCAGACTTCAATGAAGTAGATCCGGAATTCTGGATCCAGAGGTATGGGATATGACACACTCCCATTAATGCTCACACGTGTGTGACCTTCCCTACCTGCAATCCGTGCAACTCCTCAACTCCTCCAAGTGTTGAGTCCTTTCGGGTCCGCCTCTATATATATAGGCACTGGTGGGTGGTGTTACGCTGATGGTAATCAGAGGAGGTTTCAAGTCAATCAATCTACTAGAGGTGGCACTCTAGAGAAGTCAAAGGAATCAAGATGGATTCACTAGTGTCTAACTAGTAGTCAGAGGATGTATCTGGGTAATTCCAGTGTAGGTCAAGATGAGGAATCATCGAGACTATGACCTGCTTATATACAATAGTAAGTCAGGGTCCAGGATCTAGGGTAAGTAAGTAATATGTCCATATAAGTATAGATGAGTGTCCATGGGAATACACATGGTGTATGCATGTTAAGGGTTTGTGAGAATACACTAGGTATCAGCATGTAAGTAATATCTGAGGACTTGCCAAGGATAGATCGAGATTGATCTCAGATCAATGAATAGGGGTGTGCACTTGTAATAAGGTGAAGTCGGAGAGTAACCCTAGATAGGGTGATATCAAAAAATAGTGACACTGTGACATGGTGTCAATGTGAAGATGTGAAGATGTGAAAGGTGAAAAGGAAAATGAAGGGTGTCACAGACAACCGTAACAGGTGGTGTGTAAATTGGTCCTATAGATATGATGAACCGTGGTCACATGCAGAGGTCAGTACAGATCAACATACTGCTGAGATCTGTGAAAACAAATCAACAAGCTAGAGGCAAGAAATTGCAACAAAGCTAACACATGCAAAGCTTCAGTAGAGAAGGAGAACCACATTCACATTACGAGCTCACCTCACAAAGTAAATCATGTGAGATTTCATTAACACCGTGAAACAGTCCCCGATAATCCCTCCAGATTGCCATTGCAGTTCTCGAAAGTGTTTTATGGCAATCCAGACTGCAAGACACAGTGCAAGGACCTCCCATACAGAACTGGTTATCCAAGTGATGGAATTCAGATGTGAAACATCTCCTTCAAAATTAACACTGCACACATAGGTGCTGGAGAAAACAAGCTCCTCTAGTATTTGTCAATCCACCTGATGCACCTGGGTCTATCTAAAGCTCACCCCCTGAGATATGTGTTGTTGTTGTTGTGCCGATCACTCCATTGGTGGTGTTGACAGTCAGGAAGACGAGGAGGAGAAATATGAGCACCTTTCTGGATCCTTGATACATGGCATGTAACGGAGCAATCATCATGACTTGTGTGATGTGAGTCAAACCAAGGTATTACAGCTGTGTAGCTCACCACCCAGTATTGCAAATATGACAACACTCGTCCAATCCATATGAGGTATATGATAAGGCCTGAAAAATCCAGTTAGCGATCAGGAGGATCACGCACTTGAAAAAAAACTTACAGCTGTGGCAGTCATTATATTGACCCAATGGAGCTGGTCAAGAATCTCACTCACCCCTACATTGGAGTGCAGTTAATTGGACGGGAACAGTGAGCATCAGTACAGAATACTTATGACATTGGTCACCGAGTTTGTCGGAACATCAACTGTGTGCTGCTTGTCAGAAGATACAAGCACAGTGGATGTGAGGAGACATACAAAGTACAACAATGTTGATGGCTGATTAGCGCGGCACCAGTTGCTTAGCCTTTGAAACATAAACAACATATAATATTCCAAGATAGCACACCTAGGATATCGTTAAGTCAGCCATTTGTACTCATATCAGGAACTACATACACTCAGATACAGAACCGTCATCAGGGACCAGTGTTGCCTCTGTCGCGAATTAATTGTGTTTTCACAGTGTTCTTCTAACATGGGGTTCTGCTTCATCAGCAAACTAGGATTTTCACCACAGGCCTCACAAGCATCCACAAGGTTTCACATATTCCTATTTTCTTTACAAGCTGTACAGAGACTTAAATTTTCGACCAAAATGATAGTTGTAGCCCTTATCAAACGGAGCCTATCCATGGTCTCATGACATTTTTTGGTTAAGAGCTTAATGAGTTATAAACAAAGTAGTGGTACTCAAAACAACTTTTGAAACTCTTGAAACTTCACTTAAACACCGGCTAAACACTTTCAACTCGTGGCTAAACAGCTTCAAAAACTTCGGCCGATGCTCAGCGCACACAGTTGGACTTTCAAATGATACTTGTGATTTTCAAATGTGCTATATACATAGGGGAAAGTTGTAGAGTAGCAGCCAACATACTTTGTATTTCAAATGATAGCAAGATTCAATCTATGCTTAGGTGGGTGGTCTCATGTTTAGGGCAAGCAGAGTCCCCCAGCTTCATGCTCCGGGGACTCGAAGAGACGGATGAGAGACTAACTAGTGGATAGAAAAGTTCGGGAGAGATGACGGGAGAAGGGAGCGCCAGAGGGAACAAAATAAGTGCCGAGGGGAAGAGGGAAGGAGGAGTGAGAGGAGGAGTGAGGAAGAGTGAGGAGGGGGATGCTGAGCAGCTGGGGGAGGACTCTAACAGGCTCAACCCCTACTGCCCTCTTATGGTCCATTATCCCTCTCCACTCAAGCCCGCATTCCCTCCTACCAACTCCACAAACATCACCCTGCCAACGACACCCAACACGCCTTCACCTAGCCACTCCACATCAACATCCCCAGCTTCAACCGCATCACCACCAACACTACCTGGTATGGAGGATTGTACCGCTTGCATTTTCTCCACATCATTGTCTCCAGGTCTACCAAAACACAAGCCTGTACCAGTACTGCTGCTGTCAAAGCACAAGATGTTCACATTCGCATCGCCGGCTGTAACAAGGTGGAGGGTGGACGAGTCACTTGCTGGTAAAGATGAGGTGCTGCTTGTCAGGTGGGATGTGTGTGGGATGTGAACTAAAATAGATTTCCCGTAAGATAAGGGTAGATGTTAGCTGCAACTTGCGAGAGGCGCAAGAATTACTTACCTTGGGTGGATGACACCTGGAAATTTGGTGATGTCCTGCTCGGCGCTGTGGATGAGCATTGAGGTTTGAGGGTGAGGTCAGCGACAACACCAATGTGCTCAACACGAGACGAAACTTTGGAACTTTCCGACATTTTAAACTCCACTACATTTGATGTCGCATATGCACCAAATGGATAGGAGTTTTGATCCCCTCGACTCCCACCTCAGTATGCCTCGCACATCTGCACGCAAAGATCTCCTCAATGCTGTTGACAAGGCTGCCCTTGCACTAGCCAAATTACAATTCCAGAATGAACTCCTAGATGATTTGTCAGACTCGGACTCTGATACCAACTCTGAGTCAGACATAGACTTGCTTTCTACCGATGATGAAGTCCTCCTCCTCCCTCTAATTTTCGCATTTTGCCTCTTTGGTAAGTCTTCCTTGCTCTCTTCTCCTTCCCTCTCTGACCCCTCCTAGCTCTCTTCCCTGCTCCTCCTCCCTTTAATTTTCGCATTTTTGCCTCTTTGGTAAGTCTCTCTCTCTCTCTTCTCCTTCTCCTTCCCTCTCTGATCCTCTCCTTCTAGCTCTCTTACATCCTTCTCCCCAACAATTTTCGCACTTTTGACTATTTGGTGAGTTTTCTTAGTGAGTCTCCCTTCTCCTCTCCTTTCCTCCTTCTCTGATTCTTCTTTTGACCTCAGATTTTCGCATTTTTGTCCAGTTTAGTAGGTTTAATCTTGTTTTTAGTTAGTAGTGTATATGTCTATGTAGTAGTTACTTTGAATTTGACTTCAATTTTTACATTTTCGCATTTTGGGTGTTTTGGGTATCATAATTGAACAATATGACTGCTTTGAAATGGACAGATTGTACAGGCTTGTACAGTCTGTACAGACTGCACAGACTGCACAAGCTCACAGACTGTACAGACTTGTACAGTTTGTACTACCTTGTGACAGAACTGTAAAGAGGGGACTTTCTTGTGTGCTTGTGAAGTTTGTACAGTCTTGTACAACCTTGTACAGGCACCCCCTAGTTTGCTGATGTTACCCAGTCCAGTTCCACTTATACAACTATTATTAGTGACATGACTAACACAGTAATAGCATCAACCTACCTCTTGTCCAAACACCAGTGCTGGGGATACCATAAGGATATCAGTGGTTCATTAATACTATCTTGTTCACCCAAATTGTAGATCAGCCCAGCACAGGCAACAACTATGAAACCACAACAAAGGTTAGTCACCGTCGACATCTAGCTGTCTCTCCACAAACCTATAAAATAGCTGGAGATACAATATGAATTGATGAATGGCCACCAACTGGGATCATCTGAGATTAGGCTCATACTGCTGAAGGATGGATATGAGTGAGCGTGAAATTGATGGTTGTATGACGAGGACATTCCTGGTAGATATACTACCATCTAGCATCTTTCTGGCCGAGATGAGCATCATAGGGGATTAACCTCAGTGTTGGTCGTGAAACATGTTTGAACACTGCAAGCTAACGAGAACAGTGAAATCATGTAATTTGTTGATCTAACACATGCTCGGTGAGGTCCAGATGAAACAAAGAGATAACTCACCTGTTCCGCCCGGTCTGCCAACCCCCACCAGGCACACCTCTTAATGCTTAATCTCCGTCCTCATCCTCAGCAACCATTGCCTGATGCACACCTTCTTGCTCTCAGCGGCATCGGGCTATCATAAGGATTCCAAAAGAAGCTGATGCAAAAAGGCACTACACTTGATTTGTATCACGGCATTGATGCCGTGGCGATGGCAATCAATGTGCACAGGCAGAAACAAGGACCTGCAATCTGTAATTTTGAGCCTATATAGTGAAAATACAATGCTATCTCTAGATGAACAAATGAGTCAAAGGCACTGGAGAACAAAGAAAACTCAGATCATGACGCCCAGTGCATGGCTTCATGGCAGAGCAGGAAACTTGACTTACTGTACAGGGTCAATGATTTGAACAATTTCATACAACACCAATCATTAGCTTATCATGCTCATAGCTGCATGATAAGCTGTGGTGTTAAAATATTGATCCAAAGTCATCATCATCTGCGCTGTCTCTTCCTTCATTCTACAGTTCGCATCATCGCCGCCGATGCCAGGCATGTATGTATGAGCATCCTCTGTGCATTATCTCCTGGAACAGCCCTCAATGCTGATAAGTAAGGACTAAGCTTCTCATGGATATGTGAGTTTCGATGAGGAGAGCGCGAGCCTGGAGTTCCATAAACAAAGTCGACTTTTCTCTCGGTCTTCAGATGGGAGGGGTGTTGAAGGAGTGAAGTCTGAGGGAAGATGAAGATATTGACAATGGAAAATATTGACCGTGACTGAAAACAGCAACGATCGCGAGTGTCAGTTTCATAATAATTTTTTTTATCTCCAGGAAAGGCATGAAGACGTGAATTGAATTCGAACGGTCGAAGTCAAGATTGCGATAAGGTATGTTTTGACTTTTAGCAGTCACGTGATCTTAATCACAAAAATAAGATTCGGTGCTCATCATCGTAAACGATGAGCAGCCTCATCTCTTGCATATCATGGTAACTGAACCACACCCCACCACTCACTCCCATACAACTCCAATTTTAGGGTAAAACGTGGCGTTTCAGCGAAGCAGCCCTCCAAATACATCCTCGACGAGAAGGAACTCGAGCGCGTTAGCGCCCTCGCACGCATCACGCTCGAATATGCCTGGACAGAGCTAGAGCGCGCGCATAATGCTGCTAAGAGTATGGGAAAGGGCACGGAGTGTGCCGAGGCAGATGAGGAGGATGAGGAGGATGTATGGGTCAAGTGCGTTATTTCACTTGTGGTCCCAATGTTATTACTGATGGCGTTGAAAAGTGAGGATGTGTCGATAGATGGCGATGTACCGGTTGATGGTGCACTTGCGAAAGGAGATGATCTTGCGCAGTATAAGCTTGATGAGTATGACGAGGACGACGTAAAAGAAGCTGGTATGCATGTTTGTATAGGCTCGGTCTGCTCACGAGCACTGATCTTTTGCAGGCATGGGTCCATTCAGCGATATCAAAGGATTGCCATTCTACAGCGATAACCAAGATGATCCGTACATTACACTCAAAGATGTACGATCCCTTCCTTTTCCTCCTTCATACCTCACACAGGACCCTGAAGATGACGAGCGTTCAAAACTCAAAGTCCTCCCAACAGACGACCTCCTTGTCACCGCAAAAACTGAGGACGACAAATCCCAAGACAACCTCTACGTCCACCGCGACCTCATGCTCCCCAACTTCCCCCTCTGTCCCGAATGGCTCGATTTTCCACCCACATCCCCTTCACCCACCCAACCATCCGTTCATATGCATATGGTATTGCAGATTACTTGCAGCGCCGAGAACTTCCATTGAATGTTTCTGTGATATGCTCTCGGAGACCGGACAAGCCTTGTTCCACCAGGATCGAGGATTCTGCTGTGCCAGATGGCCATATTTTGATGCATCGCGCTAACGAGCGTCGCGGGTTCAGAGGTCAGTACACTTGCACCCGTGAAGCTTCGTGGTGATGGCTAAATAGTAGATAGTAGATATTTCACGACAACGACCTCACGGAGATTTATCTTTTGTACTAACCCCCGGTATGTGTGTTTTTTTACCTAGGTGCAGTTGTCAGCGCTGATAGCCTGTTCATAGTTCTGAACCACCAACCTGATGCGGCCCTCACATGACGATGCATTGCGCCGACTTCTTCCCAACCCACGCCATTGCACCCTACTTCGACGGCTCTATCTCAGATCTAACGTCTCGTCTGACTCTATTTTCGACAACTCCGTGGTTTAGTTGGTACCATTTATCCGACTTATTCATCGCTGTAGCATAATATAATTTGGAACATAACTGAGTATCTAATACAAATTATCTCAAGGCGCTGCTACTGCTTGGGATCAGTGAGTCATTGTGGACAACGCGTGTCCCCGTGTCTCAGCACATCTCCCGCACAGACAGGAACAGGATGGCGTCGTTGTGATGGACAGACTCGGCCCATGAAACAGGTCTGGCTAGCCTCTCTGGGTATGTACATCATATGAGACTGGGGTCGTCGGGTTGTAGAAGGTAGTATTTTGTGGCGTGGGTGCTTTGAATGCATATTCCGCACTGTGGAGCGTGAACCGTATAATATACATACTCTGTCAATGAATATTGTTCGACTCTCATGAGGTGACGGGGGTCATTGAATGGCTGTACACGCAATTTGAACGGTGATTACTCGTACCCTGAAGTGATGCAATTTCAGGGACCCGAAAAAGTTCGAACGAGTAACAGGGGACGGTAGACTCCATCCCAAACCGCTGGTGTGTCATGCATCTATAACGGACACAAGCGGACCTTTAGTTTTCGGCTTTCGACTTCGCTTTCGACTCTAGCTTTTGGTTTCGACTTTTGGTTTCGCACTTTGATACATAGCCAAAACCAAGTATCACCGACCACAAGTACATCTGCGCCATGCCCAAGGCAATTCAACTGACAAACATTTATGAAAGCGGAAAATCATTTTGAAAACCTTACTTCAATCAGTAATCACTGGGAATTTTGTCTGCTGGCGCCTTTCATATGCATCGCCATCACATCAGTTCCACGATACAAATCGAGTGTGCCGTATCAGCTTCCGCGCTTACCATCTTTTGGTGTCCTTATGGTACGATAACCCGATGCTGAGCGCTGAGAGCGAGAAGGTGCATATGAATGCTGAGGACGACAACGGAGACCTTGTTGAATGTCCCCATCGAGAACAAGTGAGACGGCACGCTTTTTCGACGGTCACATCACGGGCATGTTTTAGATCAATAAATTACGTGATTTCACTGATGGTACATGTAGCGAGAAGCGGTGTCCAAACATGCGACTGCTGTGCAGTTTCACAATAAACAATAATGTTAATTTCTGTGATGCTCATTTCGGCCATAGAGACACTGGATGGTATATCTGCCACGAATGCCCTTGACATACGTCCACCAAGTTCGCTGCTCGCTCACATCCACCCTTCAATACTATGACCGTATTCTCAAATGATCCCAGTTGGTGGCCGACCATTCATTCGGATCTCATTTACGCCTATTTTGCAGGTTCGTGGAAAGCCAGTCGTATGACTTGCAACGGTGATGTCTGCATCTAACCTTGACTGCGGTTTTGCAGTTGCCGCCTCTGCTGGGGTGATTTATGATTGGAGTGAGCAAGATAGTGTTAAAGAACCCGCTGATTATTCTCATGATATTTCCAGCACTAACATTCGGACAAGAGGTAGGCTGATACCACGAATAGAACAGTCATCTCGCTGAGCATGATTTTATAGGTCGAACTGGTCTGGGTGAGTCGAGTTTCACGTCAGAAGAGCAACCTGGCAATACAATCAATCCGTTGTAGAGGCAACGCTGGTCCCTGGTGACCGTTCTGTATCTTAGTGTATGTAGCTTGCGTGATAATGTGGTTGGCAAGTTGTACTGACAATGAATTTTCTAGGTGCGCTACGGTGGGATATTATGTGCCGTGTATGTTTAGAGGGTAAACTATTTGATGTCGTGCTGATGAGCCCTCTCTCACAATCAGCGCCAACATTTTGGGTATGTCTCTTCACATACACAGTGTTTACTCCTTCTGACCGGCAGCATACAGCAAGTGTTCCAACAATCTCGTTAACAGATGTAGTGAGCATTCTGCAATGATCTGACATTCCCATCCAATCAACCGCACTTCCATCCAGGGGTGAGTCGGATTCTTGATCAGGTTGTTGGTCCAATACAATGATCACGACAGCTGTGAGTTTGTTTGGACCCTGCGATCCTGCGAAGTTGAACACTAACCGGATTTGTCAGGCCATGTTATGTTCGTTGCAATAGATTGGATGAGTTTCGTCGTAAATGCACTAGTGAGCGGTCAGTTATGCAGCTGCAATACCTTCCTGATATTGATCTGACTAAAAAAACTAGTCATCCTTATCACTCGGTTATATGCCATGTACCAGCGATCCATAAAAGCACTGATACCTCTCGTTCTTCTCTTCCTGGCTGTCAGCATCACCAATGGGGTGATCGCCGCAATATCAATGAGGGTTATTTCAGCGGGTAAGCTTAATTAACTGATTCAAGTGCACAACGCTCATTGATGAATACCAGAGGAGTTTGTTCTTTCCGGCACCTATCAGTGCAGTTTTGACTATGGCGGAGATGTTCTACTTCTGGATACTATCAGTTGGATACTCGGAACTGTATGGGAGGTTTTCGCACTGTGTCTCGCAGTCTGGATTGCTGTAAAACACTTCCGTGAACTGCAACAACAATCAGGCGGACGGATCATCGAAAACTGTTTGACGGTGTTGATAAAAAGTCACATGGGTTACTTTGGGAGGTGAGCTCATGACAAAAACACACTTCTCTTTTTTCGCTGAAGGCAAGTGCGTGCTACATAGTTATCTTGCAACTTCTTGCTTCAACCTCGGTCATTTTTCTCCAGCCATCTCAGGGGTACGCTATCTTGTCACTGACCTCTACATGCATCCACGGTTCATCATTTCTATAGAACCCATATTCCACGGGAAGTCAAATCTATGCTGGTGTTGCTCAAATTCTCTTGTCCGTGCAGATGTATGTGCTGGGACCGCGCCTTGTCCTTAGCATTCGAGAATATCACGCCAAACTCGTAGCCGACTCCGATGCAGCAACCGCCATGACTTCAATTGCTTTCCAGGAGCGCGTATATGTGTCAACTAGCAGCACTGTGTAGCAGGGAGACACACAATGCGATTGACACTCGTCTGGTTCTGCGAGGAGCAGGAGAATTTGTTCTTTTGGTTCGAAGTTTTGTCGTGGTACTGATTTAAATTATTTGGTGCTCCGAAGAAGATTTGAATTTCGGGAAAGAGATATGGGAAATTCTAGAGCAAGTGAAGGTCAAGTTTGAAGTACGAAGGAGGCTCGCCGTGTTATACTATGAGTATTACCATCCACCTACATCAGGAAACAGGCCCCAGTGTCATTTTGATGCAAGAATTTGTTGCAGTTGTAGGGATGCAGTGATGCATTGCTGATGTATCTGTAGTGCATCCAAAAGTGTCACATCCATCAGTCTGACCCCGGATGAATGCTATCTTGTTAGCGCATCGAGTGACTGTTCAGTTCACATATGGGACCTCAAGATCATTCAGCCAGTTGGAGATCCACTCTTGCACGACGATCAACTATTCACTGTTGCTATGTCCCCCGATGGAAAATACATTACCAATGCTGGATCGGACGCAAAAATCTATGTATGGAGCCTTGAGGCAGCACTCAAACAGCAGGGTCATGATAATGTGAGTGTGCTTATGTGCTGTCTGCATCTTTTCTAAGCAGGTTTGATTGTCATTTTGGTTGTCATTCAGAGTGCGGATGGTGGCAATGCAAAGCACGACATGAAGCTCAAAGCAAGTTACCCATTCTTCTCGTTCACACTGCATCTCAGTTATTCGCCAGGGACTTGATGCTCGTTGGCTCTCTAAACAGCAGGTGAATAACAGAGGCTTGGCGAAATATGTCATTATAGCTTTTCATTTATGACCTTTCGCAAGCCTGACACTGATACAGGGCGATAACTTCTGGGACACTGATATAAACCGTGCACCTCATCGCGCCACTCCTGCTGCAGGCCTATCATCCCCCCCTCATTGGTGCAATCTATTTGGTTCGCTGGGTTTCAGCACTCAATCTACAAACATACCCCAATCAATACCACTTCAGCCCAACAGTCCAAGCATTGAAATTTCAGCTTATTTCCTGTGGCAATTTCCAGCCACCCTGTCAATGTAGCTCCTGCCCGGGATGAAGATGTGAGTGCTCATCAATACCAATATTCATCAGGAAAAACCTCTTATTGATATTAGACTCTAGAGACAATTCGAGAAAATCTGGTCAAACATAGAAAATCAGTTGGTGTTTTCTCAAATGCATGAATAAAACATCACATATTCAACAATATCAGAAAATGGGCACACTCCCAAAAGAATTCAGACAAATGCTAGAGAATTTTCTCCACACAAGATACAAGCATATGATTATACTAATTTATGTATACCATGAGCAGCCAGTTGGAAATAGATGTGCCTTTCTCACCTCCTCACACCATTTCATTTCGGCATCCCAACGATCTGCAACAAGTCTATACATGTAATTCTGAGAGACTGTTAGAGGGGCCGGAGTCTGACAGTAGGGTGGGACAGGAGTTTGAGGTATTTCTGCAACAGGGGTAGGAAAAATCCCCAATTACTGGATCGGAATTCTGTGCATCAACAGTTTTTTAGTCCTGGTAACTTGGTGAGAACCTGCTCATAGAATGATATCACCAACAACTTACCTTTTGATGGGCGAGTTTTTGATGGGTGAGTTCCCATCTGCAGAGTCCTGGGAAGGTGAGCATGGACTATATGTGGTTTGGGGCTGGTTTGGGGCTGACAGGTATCAGGATATAGTGGAGTGTGCTGAATTTGTAAGTAAATTTTTTTCACCCACACACCAATTTCCTTCTGGTCTCCCACTCAGGCTGCTTTCATTGCACATTGCTGGTCTAAGTTGATTGGGCATTATGTCCCAAGCACAACTAGGGATGTGCACGGGTAAACCCCAGGGTATCACAGGTGCCACCCGTACCCTTACCCCATGATGTACCCATACCCGCGCTGAGGGTATGGGTGTAGTGACGGGTAGGAGGGTATAACACCCCAGGGTACCACCCATAGTGGGTATACCCTACAGGTATAGTATACTATAATGAAATGTTACAAAAAATGTACTATGTAGCTACTCAATGCAGTCCCAACCATCCTCAAGCTCTTCCTCATCAGTATCTTCAACATCAGGTAGGGAACTAATCTTGACAATGTCTTCCGTCTTGATGAGGTTGTGGTGGCTCCAATAACCGAGGCATAGGAGCGCTCGAGTAGACTGAGCGGTCAGACGTGAGCGCACGTGAGACAGAAGGAGGTGTCCCTTGCTGAATAGACATTTGATGTCAATTGATGTAGCTATGAAAAATGTGTGACAAAAAACATGTCAGAATGAACCCATAAGAGCCAGTTCGGCAACAGGATGTTGGCCGACATTTGGCAAATTGTCAGGTGAGAAGTTGTCAGCTTGATTTTTGCTGAAGGTCGGAGTGTGAATAGTATGGGCGCATTTGGACCAACCCCCGATACTACTGTATGCTGTTATCTACATAGGTGCCCGTTGTTAAGGTCGTGCTCAAGGGAGAGGTTACTCAAAGGGCTTCGGCTTCAGCTCGTGCACTGCGCCCCTTACCCAAGTACATGCCCTTAATTTCTGGGGGACAGAGGGGAAGTCCGACAGAAGTCTGGGGAGTTCCGGAGGACAGAAGTTGGTGGAGTTCGGCAGAACTCCAGAAGACTATATGGGGATGGAGTAAGGCTACTATGGAAGTCCGGAGTAGAAACAGAACAGAGGTCAGACTACCCTAAGGTAGAGCTGGAGAAGTAGTCCTAAGGTTTAACCCCTAAGACTCGGAGGTGGACAAGAGGTGAGATTCAAGTCTGGAGATTGCAGGAATGAGCAGAACTAAGATGATATTTGAACCGAGGAGTTCCGGAGTATTACAGGGGTTTATATACTGTAGGTTCCATGTAAGTAAATCAGTCAGCAAAGGTAAGGGCTATGTACGAAGCATGTGGAAAGTCTATTACTAAGTGTAACAGATCAAAGCAGTGAAGTCAGAAATGAAGTAGGAATGGACAGATCAATAAGCATAGCGGAAAGGACATAACCGGTGACCGGAGAAATAGCTAATCTAAAAGGAGTTAGGGGTGAGTGCAGAGATGAAGGTGGAGCACTGGGCGGAATAGCAGGACGGAGAACCAGACTTTAATGGAGTAGATCCGGAGTTCTGGATCTGGAGGTATGGGATATGACACCCGTCCTTGGATTCAGCCAGAGTCCCTGCTGCAATGGATCATCAATTGAAAGTCACAGATTTTGTGCCCTGACGCCCAGAAGCTCGCCGCCGCCTCATCCAGTACTCTATCCTTCTAATTAGTATCTTAATCAGTGCTACAAGCAGTGTCCTACAATCCATGTATTCGAAGGATCCAGAGCTGTATCATACCTCTGCTCTCTTGGGTGAAGCATGGGTCATCGAGTTATTGTCTGGTCACCCCGATCAAATACGGAGTGAACTTGGTGTGCACGCACACATTTTTGCAGCACTTATCTCTGAAATTCGTGCCCTCGGACACACCAACTCCAAGTTTGTTTCGCTAGAAGAACAACTTGCGATTTTCCTGTACACTGCTGTCACGGGCTTGTCTATCAAGCACGTCGGCAAAAGATTTCAACATTTGAACGATACAATTTCTCGGTAAGTAGTATGTGCTAATAACTGTTTGTAGACTGATTGTATGTTCTATGTAGTTATTTTTGCAAAATGCTCACCATCTTCTTGTCCTCCCCCTTCTATACGAAGTATGTTCAGTTGCCGGATGCCTCTGTCCCCAACAAAATTCGCTGTAACCCCAAGTTTTGGCCGTTCTTCAAGGATGCCATTGGGGCCATTGATGGGAGCCACATCCATGTGTCACCTCGTGCATTTGAACGAGGCCCGTATTGAAATCAAAAGGGTTTTGTTTCCCAGAATTGTCTCTTCGCCTGCGACTTCGAGCTCAAATTCACATATGCCCTCACTGGCTGGGAGGGCTCAGCCACAGATGCACACATCTACGAGGCTGCAGAGGGTCACGACCTTCACATTCCCATAGGGCAATACTTCCTTGCAGATGCAGGTTTCCCTCTGCGGCCTGAACTACTCATTCCTTACCGTAATGTGCACTATCACCTCACAGAATGGGGCTGCGCAAGTGTTCGGTGAGTGTACTAGCCATTATTCTTCCTGCTGTGCACTGATTTCCTGCAGGCCAACTACCAAACAAGAATTATTTAACCTCCATCATGCATCAGCTTGAAATGTCATCGAGCGAATATTCGGTGTCTTGAAACGACATTTCCACATCCTCCTTCTATCCCCGTCATATGCTATGGGTATACAAGCTCAGATTCCAGCTGCATTATGCAGCATTCACAATTTCATCCACTTTCATGATCCTGCAGAAGGTAGACTGCCGGATGCAGACTATTTGCCTGATGATGCACCTGCTGCAAACTCAGAGGGCGCACCAGCAGAAGACCATGCGGCTGTGCATGACAATCTACATTTGATGTGCGATGGCATTGCTGAAGCAATGTGGGTGGACTATCAACACATTTTGCGGGAAAGACATGCTCTCAAAGATGACAACAACAATGATCTATCAGACCAAGGTATCTTGGAGGATGAGGGTGGACTGGGCTAATTCTCACTAATAGCACGTAGTTGAACTTGTACAATATATCATGATATGAAACACGCGCAATACAGGATGTGGGATACTACATGTTGGTACGATAAATGTGACAGGCGGCGATAGCTCTATGCAGACCCAAGGAGTCCCAAGATAAATTCACGGTGCATCTCAAAGTCATCCTCCAGCTCAACGTAAGCAGCAAGATTGTTTTTGCCTCCTGAATGAGAAAAGATCCACAAGAGCTTGGCTCTCTGAGTGACTGACAGGTCTCCATCTCCAGTGCACATAATTGCCAGGCCACGAGAAATCATGGTAACCACTTGAACAACTGGCACTGGCTCAGCGACCACATTTTTGTCGATATTTTTCTCAATAACGTTGGTGAGGTGATTGATAGTACCTTGCATGTTCATGATGGTGGCCGCTGGAGTAATCTTGGCAGCTATTTTGGCAGTGCTGCTCATCCCCATCTGCGCACTGTCATATGCCGACACTTGAGCCTTCTTGAAGGCTGGTGACTGGGATGAGTGCACCAATGTTGGCAAAAGGGGGAGAGTTGATGAGTGGTGACTATCAGCGTAGCTGGACTTGGGGGTGGCATTGGAATTGTAGGATGACATCTCCAGGGTGTCAAGCAGGGTATTGGTGTGCAAGCGTTTACTGGACTGGGAGCCAGCAGTAGTAGCAGAGGTCCCATGGAACAGGGCGCTAGGGGGCATCATCAAGTCAGCGCTCATGTCTGGCACATCACTAGGGCCA